ATCTGACAAACTGTTTAATCAACTCGTCCTTTTAAGACTCTCAAGTTGATGGAGATGAATGTGGTCGCGTTACTTCAAAAGTCAGTAGTACTGAAAACAGTTGTCAGCCCCTCAGGATGCAAGCCCAATGTAAACGATTCAGTCGATGTTGACGGGTTCATAACATGCCCCCAAATGGTCGATAGGCCAAGATGCCCACGACACGCAGTCGTCTTATCACTGTGTTTCTGCTGATGCGGCAATCCAGCGCTGATGCTGATGACTTCACTCTGAACATCCGGTTACACAGTTGGAAGATTCGAAGGGGTTGGTCACTCTCGGTCTTCCACTTCAGGAAATGGCAGAAATTGGCCCAGTCTGGTTGACCCACTTATTAGTCTGATGATGGTTTGCCTTGCACCTCTACACGTCCTGCCCTTAAGGCTGTTAACATCCTCATCTGCGACATTCCAAAGGTCCGTTCAAGCTGATATAATATAATCTGGACATTTTGTATGCGTGTCTTCAGTAGGTATACCGCTAACAATCACAATCGCCTGTGTTTCATACTGTTGGCGAATACATTGCGATTCAATAAATCACGATTTTCAAGATATTCCACTCACAGCACTGTAAATGACATGCGTGGTGCTTAGTCAACATATATACAATGATTCTGACTCAAAATCAGAATACTTTTTAAAATTTTTACTTCGGGGTAGAAATATCCTAAAACACCAGAAGTGTACTTTCTTTTGAAACCTCAGTTTAGATGACACCGAATCCATAGTAAAGCTGATTTCATGTTATGCAGTAATGAAGTCATATTGGGTTTCGTCTTTCGTAGTTTTGTACCTAGTTTATACTTTAACACTCATCAGACGAATGACCAAAAGTTATGTTGTTTTTTCTGGTCGTTTTTAACATTTACATCACTTTGATACACATAACAAGCTGTAGACCTGCTAAATTTGTTGCCTCAATTCCGTGATATATGTGGTTCACCTTTGTTTCAGTCCAGACAGGAATTCAACAATATATAACTAATCTTTCTCCACAGAGATCAACAACGTTCGAAAAACCTATTTAACACTGTCGATCAGCCATGTAATTCATTAATTTATTAAAAGCAGTTAGTGAGTCTAAATGTGAAATGACTTGTGAATATCACTCTATGGTAAATCTTGAAGGAACAATTAGTTATATGACTACAATTCGAAACAGTTTCTCACAAAGGAGAATATTGTGTCAAAACATTAATGATTTGGATGTGTTTGAGGGAGAATGTATTTTTGTAAGGATGCTGATAAATAGATCAAAAAGGGGTAACATTGTGTACGAGAATATTTGTCCTAGTTTGAAGGAAGAACACAAACGTAAAGACCTCAAAGCCAACATATGGTTTTTTGTTATGTGAATGACGATACATCGAGGCATCGAGAATATGGTCGTGTTGATTAGTTGTGTTGATATATTGTTTTACCATCGAAATGACAGCCAGATAATATAAGTAATCTCCATGAATGAACGTCTGTTTCCCATTCTGCCCTACATCCAGGACGGTTTTCACTGCTGTGGATTGCACACTGCCCTCAGTGCTCAGTAATGTATGCAACTGAATTTTGAATAACTGAATAATTGATATTGCAAATGTAGCTCTTATGGCAGATATTTTCGTGTTCATTCCCAGCTGTGATCAGATCAGAATAGTGTGTCACAGCCGGAATATGCCCAGTCTCCTCAAGCTGTAAACTACCAATCATCAACACCGTAAGTAGCCAAGCAACAGAGCTTCAGTGTTAGTAATTTCATAAATCGTACGTGAACTCCAGTTGTTCTCATTAAGTATTGTTTTACTATCAGATTAGAATATAATTATGTTCTTATTCCCCACATTTATTCCAGATGCAAAATTAATATGTTGTCTGTGAAACAGATTATTTGAACTAGACCATGTATAAACAACTTCCTAAAATCCACCTTTCATACTGCATCCACTGGTGTTCTTATTCCCATTTCATTTCATTTCAGTAGGTCAGTCATTGAAGAACATAATGCTCTTTTATGTCATATTCTCCGAGCATTCAGCGTGCAATTATTCTTTAGATGATTCAAAACAAACGTGTTTGTTATTTTGGAATATTTCAACATCTGATGATCTGATGATACATTTTCTAGCTTTTCGTCATCTAACAGAATTGTTGTTGATGCTATATCTACAATATCAACCTCAAGAAACCTAAAACAATATTGAAATCTGTCATGTACATTTACCCATTGCTGTATCTGTTCCAGGCGCCGATAAGATCATTATATCTACTGAACCAGCATCTATTCCAATGGAGGATGTAACATATCTTCCCCTGAACACTTCTCTCGTTGACGAGTTCCTCTATTACGATGATGCCAACTCATCGACAAATATGACCCAAAGTGCAGATCCCGCAAACGAAGCAGCCTTGGGAATAACCCGTTGTATTATATTGTATTACTGTGTTACAAAAACGTGTTGTCTATATTTCACGTTTTGTTTACTTGTGATTTACCTTTCAAACTGAATGTACAATATTTGAATGTTCCTGAATTGTGGAATAAACACATGTGGTTTGAATAAATGCTTTTGTTTCATGAAACTCTCCCACCCAGGGCCATGTAAACCTGCGGTTGATCAGCGATGAATTTTACTATTGCTATAATTATTACGATATACGTACTATCACTATATAGACACTACGCTGTGTACGTTGATGGTTTATTAGATTTGTGATTAAATTTGAACAGTGTAATGCTACTTTTAAGTCTACTTTTAAGATATATCTGAAATCGTTTCGCAAGGGATTTCTTTTGACTTTTGGAAAGATTTTGTTGGTATTATGTAAATGAATCATCTAAAAAATATGAAGACCACCATATCAAGACCACCATTCTTTTTGCTTCATGAAAACTGATTTGCCCAACATATGGAGTGGATTGCTGGCAACCACATGACAATATTTAGTGTGTAAACAATACATTGTAAAATCACACCACTGTCGATCTTCTATTTTAACTTCGACTTAGTTGGGTATTGCTTGCAGCTCTGAGATCGTTTTGTTCAAATCAGCCCTGGGCTGCTAACATTGTGACCCAACAACGCCAGCTCCCAGTCTGTGATACTGAACGGTCATGTGTAAGCTCTCTTCTACCTCGAAATGGAACCAGTAAGGGTATCAATTCTCCACCTACAACTGCTATTCCAAGGGTTTCGGTCAGGTGTTTAAGTAGCCATTAGGATATACATCGAGAAGACAGACTGGTCACATACTCCCTGACTGGTTCCAGGTCTGTTCAAGTACAGAAGAAAAACGTCCACTACAAGCGGATTAACGTCAGCTTTCCATGAACATTAAGATCAAATCCACAACGTCAATTCTGATTTATTATCTGCGTTATAATCAAGGAATTAATATATATTTAATTATCTCAAGGCAAGTCAGCTTGACGTACGAGGATAACCGAAGTAATGCAGATTTTAGACGTTTACCATACGTACCCTTGAAACCGACAAAAACACTGGTATGGTGCTAACGAATCTCAAGAAAACGAATCAAAGAATCTTGGATTCGAAACCACGATCATACGTTTCTGGCACTTCTAGCAAATAAGAACTAAGTCGACTCTGAAAACTCAAGTAGACCGTATCGGTTTTGTGAAGCAATCGCGCTTGTAACAGTTTGCTTGTTTCAGTTTTACCCCAGCAAAGTGTTGAATCAAACGAGGGTTGTAGTGGTTTACTTCTTACGTGATACAACCTTCCGGATCATGTGGTATTGACACATCAAAGACAGTCGAAAAGAGCCTGGGATTTGAACCAATAACCGACGGATTCAGAGCCTGGCAGAGAACGCTCTTTGCAACACGATTTGGGAATTTATAAAAGGTGAAAATAATACGCTGCATTGAACATAGTACGCCCATTAATTCAGTACCATCCTTTACGATCCTACTAGGGTTACATAAAAAACGACATTACCCTAGATGCTGTTTATGGGACAATTTGTTGATACGAACTATTTCACCAGAAATAGACTGAGTACTGAACTGGTTAACTTTTTGAGTTGGCTGAACTTCCTCACAACGTCGATATGAAAATGGGAGAGGATATGTAGGCACGAAGTGGGTATCCCCATGGTATAGACAGACTTTATGGATAACAGCTTCTTTATTTCGTGAGTGCGAAGTTCCGATACAGATTCTTGTACCGTTGTTTTAAACACTTGAGGTTCCCTTCCTGGGCGGATTTCAAAGAGCCTCACGCGACTCTTAACTCCAAAGATGGTTGGTCAGGAATATAGCATCAAGACTTAAGGATTCCAAGAAGCTTCATGGTCGACGTATGGAGGACTTCCAATTTTGACACACCAGTGACCAAAATATTTTCTCTCTTTCTCTCAAGGCTGCCTTTATCTTGTCCCTCATCCAAGAGCGATCAGGAATATAAACCTTACTCAGATAACTCCGACTGATGTTAAATCGTGTTGTCACCCATTATCAATAATCAGAATGATTTGTTACACGTCCAAAGGTAAGATGTTGCTTTTGAGGAGGTTTGTCCAAATGTGTCAATCCCTCGTGTTGCATGTGCATATGTTGACTTTTTTGGTCAGTGTTTACTAGATCACATTGATCTTTTTCTCGCGTATTGTTTCCCTTACGAAAGTGAAAAGAAACTTCATGTGGTCTAAGACGAGTACTTTGTATATTTTCAAGCCTCCTTTTTAAACAGGGCGAGTAATTTGTATATTTTCAAACCTCCTTTTCAAACAGGGCGAGTAATTTGTATATTTTCAAACCCTCTTTTTAAACAGGGCGAGTAATTTGTATATTTTCAAACCCCCCTTTTTTAACAGCACAACATTAAATATTCCTTATCACGACTGTCGGTTACTGTTTCATAGGTTTTAGAAGAAGGTCATATATCCATATATTCATATATCCCTATTTTCAAGTAATCTTATTTGCAACCAAAACAGACAATGAAGTGAGGGGTGTCATAATGTGTTTTATTTTTCCATATACAATAGTAAAAATGATAAGCATTACATGATGATATACCAAGTCCATAACTAAAGATATACACATCAAAATACGTCTAAATCATTCAGGTTATAACACCAGATAGTTATGAATGTTCATCCTTTCATCCAGTCAGTCATATGAATGATAATCTTCATCCCCAAAAAGAGATTTGACCAGCGGCTCACATGTTGTCAAAGGACTATTAAGCGTTCACCGTTCACCGGGTATTAGCTCAGTACAATACATTTGTGATAGTTACTTCATATGAAAAATTGCAATATTATTTGATTTTATTTGTCAATGAATGAGTGATTACTTTTAAACGTCGCTCGTCAGTCCTGCAGCTATTTGAGGCGAATAGTTGTCAGAGAATAAAGAAACGTCAGTATTGCATTATGTATATACTCTTGGCTGGAAATACATGTTTTAGCACATTTGGAATAGAGAGCGATGGACATAAATTTGGCTTGAGTAATGTATGATTAAATGATGAACACAATAAGCGACAAGTATATCTATAAAAAACAAACAATTTATCAGTAGTTTAACAGATTTAAAGTATCTGCACGATTGCACATAATTGTAACACACCCGTTCTTAAAGTGCCCACACATTTCGTCAATACTAAATAGGGTATCAGTAGCCATGTTTTGGATATCATTGAAGTAAACGATAAAATTCGCACTAAATATATTCGCAAATTCTACCTCAAGTATTTGCTATGCTCGTTATACATGTCATGTCCCGTACTATTCACCACAGGGATTCAATGGGAGGGATATTTTGTACGGGGCAGTTGCCATAGACAACCAGACAGTCCAAATATGTCAGACACTTCGCTAAACGGTTACAAGAAAGCCAAGGTTTAAACTGTTTTGGTTGTTCATATATTATATAAAAAGGCCACTGAAGAATCAATTCACTTTGAGGGTTTTCCGTATAACATTAAAAAAGCTTTGGTGCAAGTAAAAGAAATATCTGAATCATCTACAGTTTCAAGAACACACATCATCAACTTGGCCTACTTGGACCCTGATGCCTAGGAACACTAACCAGTTACGCCTCCCAAGGCAGGGGAACAGAACCGTTACAAACAGAAAATCTGAATATGTCCATGGCAGACAATTGATCAGCCACTTTGCTCAATACATTAGCGTGGATTGAGTGGAACCGATTATATGCTTGAGCAAAATCATCTCCCGGACCACAGACAGAAAACTGACGAAATCTTAATATTGACAAGCATATGCATATGATGTACATGTATAGATATGGACATATAGATGTGACGCACTTTCAAACATACAATCATGTATGAACATATGATGCATATGTCAAGATATAGACATGAATGTGTACATAATACACATTGAAAGATATGGACATATGTGCGATGTTCATTTACATGTATTTACCATGGACATTCAAAGATATGGACACAAATATGTTGCACATTTAAAAATATGGACAAATATCGATGTACATTTAAAGACATCTACGTCATTTCCATTTAGAGACATGGACAAATGTATACTGTACATTGAAAGAAACTTACATTTTGTGCAAATGTAACGAGAGTGACATACATACCAGTTTTGTTGTGCATAGCACGTACATTTCAAGAGATTGACATACTTGCAACGTACTGTTTGCACTAAATATTCTTATGATTGTCAATATTAGAAAGACTAACATGGATGGTGGACATTTGACGTACCTTTAATGAGTTTGTTTTATAGGGATTGGCATAATCATGACACAAAGAAAACGCATTTAGATTGTCAAAAGACATCGATACATGTGATATAAAGGGATCATGGAAATATATATGATATCTTTTATAAGAACGATGAGTACATTTCTATGTTCATTCATCAGTATCCTGCATACAGTAATGCTGGGATTATCAATATAATAGAATGAGATACACCTAGTAAGAACCCCAAAAGTACTTCCTGGAGCCACGTTTCTTTGCTGATCAACAAGCCATCAAACATACTGCATTACTTTTGACATTTATCAGCTAAGGAAACAATTGCTGTTCACATTTTTTGACATTCAATTTATCTTCCGTATATCGCTTCCGTTTAATATCTGGACATTCTGGACTTCATCATGGCGTCCATCTCGCTTTCTTCTTTAACAACTGACGTCTTCACTGCGACCTTGACCTTCGCCCACTCACGTGTTTTACCGGTACCGGTAGGCGAAAACGGTCCTTGATCAAGGGAAGCAAACATTATTTCATTTCTGTCAGAGAAATAATCCGTCTACAGAAGAGTTATGCATTGTTAATTATAGCATTATGTGCAGTGAACGTTACTTTAAACTCCAGTAAAAACAGATGAATTGACTGTTTGTTAAGTGTTATCTGTGATATAATAAGAAAATAAACCATTTGTGTTTGAAGTTGTATCTTAATTACATTTATGATATACTTGTGTAAACATATATCTGATCATGTGGCGTATTAGGTTTCAACACTGAGTGAACTTGTCAACCACACATCTTGAAGAACATATTATATCTACGGTATTTGTACTATGGCGTCGTTAACTGAGGTTAACTTAGGTTAACTGTGGATTGGGTATATCTGAACCAGCTAAAACCTAAACTGCAGACCTCAGTCTAACTTCCTTACAACGACAGGTAACGTAACAACAACTAAATGTAGGCTTCCAAATGCCCCAAAGCGACAGAAAAGTAGCCCCAATACGCAGATACCTCATCCATCCTGCATAACGTTTTACATGTAGGGGTCGGGGAAAACTGCAAATTAATTATCAATCAATCATCGTACCATGACTATGCAAGACACGGTAATGCGGCTGCAAACCCTTGTCTCGACTGTAAGCTTCTACTTGTCGTAACTGAATGAGATGATTAACTTGGTCATGGGACCTACTTTACCATACTGCACGTATGCAGTCCTGCCAAGGATGTTCAAGTGTCAAGGGCTGAAGACGGAAGCCATTAACGAGCACCAAATAATGCATCTAATTTGGATCAAAAGATTTCGAAGTCCAAATGTGTGCACAAAGTCAACGGGAATTGGCACGTAATGATAACCCAATGACGATCTTTTTGTAGATGAATGTTGACAAATGTGATGATCTCATCTCTCTGACGTCAACAGTTATGTCGCATGTTCAAAAAACAGTCATGTTGCACAGCTGTACTACCCACTACTCTCTGTTGTCGGTAGATAACGCTGAAAATGCGCGTGCATATATAACATTTGGAATGTGTTATCAAGGGTAATTATTTTTCCGCACTCCCAGTTGCCACCTTCCTCATTTTCAATTGACTTAGTTGTCATGTTTCGTATTGTTATACATACATTTCATCATTTTAGAGTTGCAATTAACGATTCATAAAAAGCGTATCCACAACCAAATTGCACTCAGAGAAGAAAATTTTAAAGTGGAAATTCATGTTCATTTGAAGCTAGAGAAATACAAGTATTGAAACCACAATATTGACACTGAATAAGACTTGGGACGAAACAGGATATCTGCATCACACCTCCACGGCAGTAGTCTGTAGTTTTTATGCCGACATATTATATTGAATAGTATTTGTTGAACTACGTTAGTACTTCTTTATCCACAAACTCTAATGCATTGACTAAAACACAAACTTTACTGTATTTGTATTTCATTATTTTTTGTTTTGTTTTGGGGGTTTGGGGGTTTTTTTGGGGGGTGGGGTGGGGCTATGGGGTACTTCCATATATACCGATCGTTCTGTTAGTAACATAATATGCGGGGGAATGTATTGTGTCTCCTGACATATACATTTTCATAATACATTACGATCTGCATGCCTATTTAATTTGAAAGTTAAATTGCTTGAAAACAGATAACTTTGATTAGTTAGCAAAAACGTTTCAACGATTAATTTTATGTGAGTTACCGGATCTCCTGCCATCCAATTCACCGTCGGGGTTTCCCATGACTTGTTCTTGAAGAGAGTCTACCGTCATTTGTTTCCGTGAAGAGTTTCCTGAAATACATTTCAAATGTTTCAACATTGGCATCCGTCAAGAAATCGTGGTTTTCGTAATGGGTCAGAGTGAAAATAATGAGGACACCTAGACGTCAAATGATATTACCTTTGTTCTTCAATCTGTTTTTCAGAATTTTATTAAACCAAATGAGTAAGATGAAGCAATGCGATAGACTTTTCTTCCAGTACATATCAACTGAAATTGCGCAAGAACAGATTGATACTTTCTCATGAGTCATATTTCTTTCACTTCGCATTTCGTCATTTTCACTCCAGGAAGTCATATGGAAACAACGTTTTTTAGAAAAATATTGTTCATATTTAGTAGTTTCCACTACTGGATATAGATAATCGATTTCACCCTATGAAAAATCTCTGTTTTATGACTGGAAGCATGAACTGTTTCTTATTGCATATGTTCATGTTGCAATTGCATGTACAAAGCAGTGTTTGACTAAACTCATTCATTCCCAGCTTGCTTTGGAAGATATCAAGACTTTAGGGTCGCAATACAGATGTAATTTCAGAAAATTTCAGATCTGTAGAAACTGTTGTTAACATATGATGTAATCAATTTACAATCGTATGAAGCCAGGCTGCCTGTTTACGTGGAACACATAGTATGTATGAACTGAGCGAACCGATCATATACTATAGTCCATGCATTACTTTATTATTCCTGTACAAAGTCATCTCTTAAAACGCGTTGCATCCATATCTGCTTTTTATCATATTAAACATACACTACAAGATCATTTGCAAACCACGATTACTACACACACACACAAGCTCACACGCACACACTCACGCATGTTACTTGCCACAACACTTCAATACTTACGTTCATGTAAATGGTCATGAATGTTTAACAGATATTTGAACACTTAATAATGCACAACTGCTCAACATGTCTGTTGGTCCAGTTCACAAAATGGTCAAACCAGATACTAAATTGTTTAATGATAATCTACGAGGGACGTGTTATCTTACAATGCGTACACTCCGTTTCGAAACAACAAAATGTAACGTAAATGATGGCATAACTGATATTTAGTTACTAGTTTTATTTGTTTAACCTCGTTCCTGCATCCTTTCATTGTATATATACTGGTATCTGTACACACCTCGTGAATCTGTGTCCCAGCTGTAGTCCATGTGATTCTTTACATCTTCCCCTCTCTTCCTCAAGCCGATCCTAAGCTTCCTTGATGATGTTTCTCCTTTAGTGAAACTCTCTCTTTGATCTGTCCGTGACCACCGTCTCCTGAAATGCTGAACAGACAAAGGCTACCTGTGTGTATTAATATAGCAGTACAACAGTTATAAACTGTGCCTGATATCACATGGATCTGTAAAAAACAAATTCCAGACTAAAACGTGGCCTTACAAAATTAATGTGTATTTTTACTGCATGTATAAGCTTCTGTATAATATTAATAATATTTGCAATATATATTCTATATAATGCCACAAGCCATCTATACCGCTTAGATCAATCCGCCAGCACAGAAAAAAATACAGAAAAGATGTTCACGCCATCTAAAATATATTTTATCAAAATTACTGAGATTTTTACTGAGTTAAATTCAATAACTTGAATAAACATAGGGTCAAAACAAGAAGCAGCACACGTTCTAAAGATCAATTCCCTCTGTCTCCATCCTTTCAGAAAAGATGGAATTGACAGAGACAAGTATAACTAAGTCTTTTAAGAGGACAAAAGACAATACAAAACAAATTATATGCATCATCACCACAACTGTTCAGATATGTTGAAGCCTGCGGCTAACCTGTCAAATCAAATCCATGTTGTAGAAAAAGGACTGATTAATGGCCATGAATCGCGTTTTCAATATGGTTGCCAAAGTGGTCATATTGCTGCAAAGGTCTTGAACAAAATGGGGTGTAATTATTAGTAGAATCAAACTAGTTTCCGATTCATGGTTTGTGGAAAGGTATAAATAGTACTCGAAGAATGTAGGACCATGATGCAAATGTAAAGGTAAATTGCAGGTCAAAATTGTAACATTGCGGAAACGGGAATGTAATTGTTGAATACCAAGCTTCATTCCATTTGGAAATGTTAGCAACACGGTTGACCCGTGACCATAAACACATTTACCGATAAGATAATCGAATTCGAACACTTCTTGAACAGATTGGAGTGTCATCATTGGTCAGGAAGCATGCTTAACATTTCAGTTTCGTTGGTTCAATGGTTCAGGTGAAATGATGTTTGCAGTGGACGTTGTACGACGAACACAGAGGAGCAATTATAGCGAGGATTTGTATCTGGTTTTAACAAGAGTTTGGACAATTTCTAACACGGAATCTATATCAGGTTTAGTAGAGATATGTTCATTGATATCATAGCCAGCACATACCCTCCCCCTTGGCATCCTGGGCCTTCTCATCATTTAAGTCTTCCTCCTCAGTACGGAGCTCTGCCTGTGTCATCATCTTCTCTACCTGGGACATTACTGAAGAAGAATTATAGACTACTTTTTTATAATGACGGTAAATGACGTTTTGCACCAACTTCAAAAATCGTTTAGATACAAACTTGAAATCAATGTGTCATTCATTGGCCTAGACATGTATCTTGAGATAATTGAGTATTGAGCTAATTGAAACAGGTTGTTTGGTCGTCACACCTGTCAGTTCAATTTCTTCCATTGATACACTGTATGCTGCCAATTCTTCATTTCAGCTGTCGTGATCATGATATTGTTAGGATATTAAACAAACATGCCAAGTCATCAATTCACTCACTCCTTCATTCACTCACTCACCATCTTGATTCTCCAGGGCATTGAGGGCGTGGATGTTGACCACACAAATCCAACATGGAGTATCGAGAATGGTCTCCTCTTCTTCCAGTAAGCTAAAGCAGACAATGGTCTGATGACGAAGACGAGTCCTGTTGAAAGTATGTGACTTCAGTTCTAGGCCAATACGGCTGCGCAACTCTTTCATGTCAAACACCTATAACATAAGATTTTCGATGGAATTCCGGGTTAAAATTTGTACCTTGCCAGAACTTAATGGTTTAAGACTACGGTATGTATCTGGACAGTCCAGATGGTCCTGTGTTTAACCGTTCCCTGACATGAGTTCAGAGTGTTTACGATGTTCATATAAATCATAGGTTTGTCAGGTCTAGGTTACATTATTTAGAGGCTGCTGAAATATCGTAGGAATATTGGTGAGTTTGGCGTGAAGAGTTTGGCGTGAAGCAATACACAAGCATACCTTAATATGCCATACGTCATTTTGGCTCATAACCGAACTTGTCTTATTATATACAATGTACTTGTTTTATTGATTAAATACATATTAATTGGGGTTTTTTTTTTAGACGGCGCCTGACCACACAAAGTAGAGACTGATGTCATGAGCAAAGTCCGGCGCTGTCAGGATACGATGACACACAATTAACCAAGTCACTAGCCCGAACAACCGATCCATACTTGGGTTGATATGTGCATGCAATGACAACGACAGCATGTCGGGCTGAATACCGCAACGGCTACGCGATCGGCTGGAATCTTAGATCGCCGGGATGAAGAAAGGCAATAACGAGTCAGTATGCTTTATCACCATGTTGTGCTATCGTGAACCTATTTCCAAGTACTTGTATTATAAACATATGCCAATCAATGTCATCGTAACTCCAGCTTCGTGTTCCCATTACTGCACAGTTCCCCTTGAAATATACTTATCTGAAATCATGTTGACACACACGGAACGAAGGTTCTTATACATAATAAATACTTGTCACTTTCTGCAGACAAAGAACATCTGCCTGTACTTGACAACAGAGGTTACTAGGCCAATCTTGAAGATGCCATTGTGAACATATGTGCCTGTCTTTGAGAGATAAGAGTGTCTTGAGGACATAATATAAGGTACTTGTTGACAATCCTAGCACCATTATGTCGCTTGGCTCTGACACTAATCGCGCCAAGCCTCAAGAATGAAAAGCCACACGGCCACTTTGAAGACAGTAGTTGTCTTGTTAATGGCAGAGTGAAGCCTCATGTAGATATGTCAATGTATTTATTCCGAACCACTACAAGTTGTCATTATATGTCACACATACATACGTATCCTCATATTTTGATCTATGGTTTCATGTTTTGGAACACATGACAGGATTTGCTATTGCACGCGCAAACGGACATACACACACGCAGTTTTGGAGGCGACAAACCAACAACAACCTAGGATTCGAAAACACGATCGATGAAGCCTGGCACATCCAAGAGAGGCCATTATAATCCTTGGTCTTTGAAAAGTTGCAGTCTGAACATAAGAATGACCAGTACTTGCGCCATGTTATATCATGAAATCAACGTGGGTGGCTTTCACTGGCCATATAGAATTACCTGAATGAGCCAAATGACAAACACATCGGTCTCATCATCGCTAAACCTAACTGTTACACTGATAAATTGTTCACATATCACTACTATGGTCTGAGCGAGTGTGAAGTTCTCTTTGGTTGTAACAGGATAAATAGTGGGTGGGTGAGCTTACTTTTACGCCGCACTCAGCAATATTCCAGCTATATGGCGGCGGTCTGTAAATAATCGAGTCTGGACCAGACAATCCAGTGATCAAGCATCATGAGCATCGATCAACGCAATTGGGAACCGATGATACGTGTCAACCAAGGCAGCGAGCCTGACCACCCGATCCCGTTAGTCGCCTCTTACGCCAAGTATGGGTAACTGACGACCAATATTCCAACCCTGACCGGTCGGCAAAATAGTGATGGAAACATGTGAAAGTGCACTAAAAATAGGTGATGACACCAGGTGTTCGCGAAGAGGCTTACGTCCGCACCAATGAAAGGGGAGCAGGTGTTTTAATGCATTGTACTTATAAGGAAGCGTGAAGAATCAGCTGTTTCTGAAATAAGCCGTTAGTGTGAATATTGATACAAAGCAACTGTAGCTGTGTAACGAAATTCATTTCCACAAGTCATTGCAAACACAAATATCTCTATATATCGAAAAGTGTCAATTTACATCTCAGGTTACATCTACAATACATATTTCAAGAATATAACGAGATATTAACATCATATTGAATGAGTTGGCACAAACTATCAATCATACAAACTCTGCCCAGAGATGACGATTAGCCTGAATGAAGGGCGGATTCGCTGCCTCTAAGAAAAAGGTGATCATCAATGTCATGCTGAGGTATGTATTCATGATGTTCACGTTTACATCTAAGCCCTAGTTGAGATACATAACACATGAAATTCGTCAGCTCTTATGCAAATGTGTCGTCGTTAGATCATATGGTCGGGTTTAAGGACACAGATCGATATTAACTTTCATGTATTGTTCAAAGTTTATATGTGTCGTTACTAAAATTCTTTTAAGAATATTCATGCTAATCATGGGGAACTTTTTAAACGTTGTGTGTTTTCTAACATCGCTTTATAGATGCTTTATTTCTGAGAATAATCCGAACATCAATGAAGTTCAAATTGAAACATGTCCAAACCAATTCACTGTGAGTACCTTCATAGACTGGCCATGAGGAAGTCTACAGGAGAAAACAACACTCCCTTGTTCAGAATTACGTCAGCTGACAGAGAGTGATTGCCTGGGTCATCATAACCTTGAACGATGACCTCATTGTTTGATAACCGCTTTGCCCATATACTCCCATCGGTGTCATGGTGGAGAATTAGCCCCTGGAATTAGCCCCTGGAATTGGAGATGACAATCTTCACAGGATCTTAAAGTCACAAAAGGGTTGTTGAATGTGGATATATCTTTCCTGCTTAATTCGACTGGAATTGTTGCTAGAGATACACGCGAATACAACAATAATCTAAAGCACTGATCAAAGCCAACACGGCGCTGAATATGGTTATCCTGGTGTGGGGTTGGGGAAGGGAGCGGTCTGTGTGTATAAGTTTCGCTATCAATGTCAATAAGCAAGGCACTACATGGATATTACCATTCAGTATTACATGTGAACATTATTGTTATAGTACAATAGTTTCTTAGCATAAAAAATGAATATTGTATATGGATCAGTACATATGATGTTACGCCGCTCTCAGCAATATTCAAGCAACACCTCAGGGGTACATTTCACGAATGTACTCTTACTAGTGACAACTGCAGCACATATTGACAAAGATAACAGTGCAATGGATATTGAAAAAGCAAAGACTACCTACGGTGCAATTAACACCGCCCACAGACTACAACACTAACATGTAACTTTGCGAGCAGACAACATAAATCTTAATGAGCATTTGCTGGTTTCAGTTAATTCAAAATCTATCCCCTTCATATTGAGCCTTTGAAGGCAAGGAAATGTCCACTCTAGCGTCCGCACCTGTCCAAGGTAGGCTCGGATTGTCTCCGTCGTTCTAGATCGCTCTGGATTTCGAAACACTCCAATTCCTACTCTGTAAACACAAATATCTTATTAAAAATACATTTATTCGTGACAGCTAACATATGGAAGTATAGAAGACACATGCTTCATGTGCAGTCCTTTCTTGGAGAATATGTCTACGTATGAAGGGAATCGTATGAATTTACAGTGACCTTAACCTACGGTTCTTACAACGCAACGTTAAAAGTTTATAGTCATTAAGCTTTGGGTACTGAGAAAACATTGGAAGTTGTGTTTCAATAATTAAACCCTTTGAGTGATATATATCATCATGGCAAAGTTAGCCACGACTTGCAAGTACACATTACCCTCTAAATATATTCAGTAATAAAAGAAATACACAATGTGTGGTTTTACAAGCTGGAACTTGATCTGTCACATATATCCCTGAGACTGTTCGGTATGTCGATGGCTTTGATGTTGCCCTCCGATGTTGGAACCGAACATGTCATGTCATTGCAATATCCAGTTTTGAAAAAGTCTTTAAAATATATGAAATGCTATTACTGTTTCAGGTACCAACCGGAAGGAATTCATGTCATATGAAGATATTTTTAATGAAAGGTCTGGAAACTGTCGACGTGGTTTGGTAGACTGTCAGTTTTACCTGAAGTCATGGCGATGCATACTATAGAAATGATCCCTAAAAGTATCATCTGTTCTGATCGTACAGAGGAGTAGATGTGATCTGTGAACATGGACATGATTTCGTTACGTGATGGGGCACTTTAACATCACTGAAATGTAAGACACGATGACCCTACACAATAAACAACGCACCTGTCTCCATCGAAGGGATTATAGGTACCGTCGATGTGTATTTCTCTTTTCTGTACGTAGAACTTGCCAACTGGGCGATCATACTCCATACAGATGACCTTGCACCACGTAATAGGGTCAAGGTCACGTTTGGAGGTCACGTCATGTAACACCGTCTAGAATAAGCAACGTTGTTGTATATACGTAATGCAACATAGATATGTGCTTCATAGAGACAGCGAATGGAAGACAACAAATGATCATGTTACCGTTGGGATGGATGTCTGTGAGGAAATGAATGCATGTCGTAAATGACGAATGGAAGACAACAAATGATCATGTTACCTTTAGGACAGATGTCTGTGAGGAAATGAATGCATGTCGTAAATGACGAATGGAAGACAACAAATGATCATGTTACCTTTAGGACAGATGTCTGTGTGGAAATGAATGCATGTCGTAAATGACGAATGGAAGACAACAAATGATCATGTTACCTTTAGGACAGATGTCTGTGAGGAAATGAATGCATATCGTAAATGACGAATGGAAGACAACAAATGATCATGTTACCTTTAGGACAGATGTCTGTGAGGAAATGAATGCATGTCGTAAATGACGAATGGAAGACAACAAATGATCATGTTACCTTTAGGATGGATGTCTGTGAGGAAATGAATGCATGTCGTAAATGACGAATGAAAGACAACAAATGATCATGTTACCTTTAGGACAGATGTCTGTGAGGAAATGAATGCATGTCGTAAATGACGAATGGAAGACAACAAATGATCATGTTACCTTTAGGATGGATGTCTGTGCGGAAATGAATGCATGTCGTAAATGACGAATGAAAGACAACAAATGATCATGTTACCTTTAGGATGGATCTTTGTGAGGAAATGAATGCATGTCGTAAATGACGAATGAAAGACAACAAATGATCATGTTACCTTTAGGATGGATGTCTGTGAGGAAATGAATGCATGTCGTAAATGACGAATGAAAGACAACAAATGATCATGTTACCTTTAGGATGGATGTCTTTGAGGAAATGAATGCATGTCGTAAATGACGAATTGAAAACAACAAATGATCATGCTACCTTTAGGATCGATGTCTGTGCGGAAATGAATGCATATCGTAAATGACGAATGAAAGACAACAAATGATCATGCTACCTTTAGGATGGATGTCTGTGTGGAATTGAATGCATGTCGTAAATGACGAATGGAAAACAACGAATGATCATGTTACCTTTAGGATGGATGTCTGTGAGGAAATGAATGCATGTCGTAAATTACGTCGAATGGAGAATAATTGGCGACCTTAGATTAGGAGCAAAAATAATAATACTATATTTCCAAGATGGTATATGGGAAAGATCATCATCACATAAGTGTCTCACATACAAATGATTGGAAATTCTATGATATTCGAATTCTACACATTTTTTAGATCATGAAGCAAAACGGAACCCCAAAAACAATTCTAAGTGACACACAACTCCTTGTATCTTCGTTACAGCCAGGGATCTTCAGAGCTTTAGGCACGCATGAAATTGTGGCTTGAAGCTGCGATAATGAATTTGGTGAAATTATACTTTATCTTCATTAACATAATTGTCGGATTGACGAGAATTAGAAGTACACCTATCGTTCATATATGCAAAGAGCCGGGCAGATGGCTTCTAACTCATCTAACAGTGACGTGACATAATATCTGGTTCAAGGTACAGTGATTAGCCTTTATCCATACACTGGGAAGTAGTTAGTTACCTGCTTGAAAGTAGTGTTGTCATCTAAACTTTGATCGATATAGTCATTGTATACTTCCGACTGTCCGCCATACCTGAAAAACCAATATGTCGGTGTTTGTGTACATTTAGATAATGTACATATTTATAAATAATGCATGTATTTACAAACTACGTCGTATGGAATGAAGAGGGGCGGAGGAGGAGGAGAAGAAGGGGGGAGGCGAATACTACAACTATATCTCGCTACTACAACTACCACTACCACTACAGCAAGTGATACTACTAGCACTACTACTACTACTATTACTACGACGACGAAGACGTCGACGACTACCAATACTACTAGTACAACTGGTGGTGGTGGTGACAATAGTAACTGAAGGCTGTAGTGGTACAAGGAATGAGAAGACGTTAATTGTAAATAGCAGGAGTTGTCATTCGATGCAGAAGAACACATACCCAGATCTGCTGTAGTGGGAGTCGCGCCCGACGCGGTCGCTGTAGGTCCGTATCTGTCCCCGTCCTCCGTCTCGACCAGTGTACTAATCAGATAAGAGCATATGAGGTTAACATCGTACGACTTTGGGGATTGCGTTCCAATGAAGTCTGACATCATGCGATCTTAATAGCTTATACAAGCATACATTTCCGCTTATCCATTTGCTTTCAAATCGCACTGTCAGGGTAAACTTTACAAAACCTTCTCTATGTCAGCGTAAGACACTAATATAGGTACTGGGAAGACGTTTTGTTTGGAGACGGGTCTCGCTGATGAAAACACTTCGCAACAGTACACCATATTTAAGCACACCGCTCTTGTATTTCTCCTGAAGTCACACATTTGGTTGACGCAACCGATCAACGAGTAAACACAGCGATCTAACACACGTCAGTACTTAATTACAACACTGGCAGGGCGCGGGGCTTATCCATAATTACTCGTAGTTCGTAGTCTGTTCTCTTATACTTAATGGAACACATACAACATGATAGATAGGCTTAATGATGTTGTCTACACGTTTACTGAAGTAAAACAAGGCGTCAGAAAGGAGTGGGAGAAAACACCCAAGTGATACAAGTCTGAAATGTTTACCACTTTGGCGAAACCCATGAGCACAGGTAAAACCAGAAACATAATCGGAGTCAACAGGGATTCGAACCTACGATCTTCGGATTGAGGCGTGATATAACTCTTCCCACCTGACCACCAGAGAACCATTGTTATAAGTGGACATGCCGTGATACCTGAGGTGTTCGCTCATATTTACCTGTGGGGCAGTGGGTAGCCTAGTGGTTAAATAGTTCGCACGTCACCGGGTTCGATTCCCCAAACGGTTACAATATGGGACATTACTAATATGCCATGAATGTCACAGCATCAACAGAGCTTTATTTCAGAACTCTTTATTTCTGGTTGCCCATAAAAGCCAGAGTGGAGTATAAAAACCTGAGCCTTGCCCACCAGTGCTATCATGAAACTGCTCCTGACAATCTAAATGAGTTGGTGACCAAACATGTTCCATCGTGAGCCTTACGATCAGCTGATGAACATCTATTGGTCATTCCAAGACAAACGAAAAGCCTTTGGTTTCCGCCCTTTTAGTTATGGAGCTCCAGCACTATGGAACCAGCTGCCACTCGAACTCAGACTAACAACATCCCTTGATTCCTTCAAATGTGCCTTGAAAACATTCCTCTTCAGAAAATACTATCCCATCCCTTTTTCTTTGAGCACACACTTTTGTATGGAATCCAGCGTGGAATAAATACACATGTTATTATCATTTCATTTATGCAACTATATTAATCCCACATATCAAAACGGAACTGCTAGAGATGGCAAACTTACGTAGAGACATTAGGTCTGTGTTATTTAACGTAAACATCAACAGTAGACAGTCCTTTTGAAAAACGAATCGTGCAAATAACAGAGGGACTCAACCTTTCCGTGATCAGAAGAGTGATTCTTTAAATAACAACATCTTAACGATATTTTTTCATGCTGATATAATTAGAAGGAAGGGTTTGAGTGTCGTTGAGGTAAACATCACTCTCTGGTTTTTTGCTTTTCTGACTCTAACCTGTTCTTTCTTACACCTTCTTAGTGTCAGCAATTCTCCTACAAGGTTCAGTGAAGACAGTGTGTGGGTCTTAAGCCGATACGGAAACAAAAAAATGGTAGCACGTCTCAACTCATGGTTCTGGCCTTTAGTGACGTTACGAACAATCTTAAAGACGCAATTCCACAAAACATTTGTTTCTTTGTTCTTGGTTGTTTAACGCCACACTCAGCAATATTTCAGCTGTATGGTAGCGGTATGTAAATAATCGAGTCTGGACCAGACATTCCAGTGATCAACATCATGCGTCAGCGCCAACTGGGATACACTAACATGTATCAACCAAGTCAGCGAGCCTGACCACCCGATGTCGTTAGTCACTTCTTACGACAAGCATGATGGCTGAAGAACAATTCTGACCCGGATCGTCACGGGTATCCACAAACATTGTCTCCAAGTGCACACAGACATTTCGCAGTGCAGATTACCGGACAGCCATATACGGCGTCCCATCCTTACAGCAGCCGGGATTGGGCTCGGGTGTTCAGGATCTGGGACTTTACTGAATTTCTGCGACGTTGATCCGTCTAAAGGCCACGTGTTTGCCTGTATACGCTACTTGTCCTGATCTATTGCCCACTGCAGCGTCAAACAACATATTAACAACCAGTATAAATCGCTGTTTAGGTTTGTGGGTAGTGAGTGAGTGAGTTTACTTTAACGCCGCTTTTAGTTATATTCCAGCAATATCACGACGAGGGACAAAAGAAATGGGCTTCAATTGTGAGGGCGTAGTTTTATTCCTGGAACATGATATGATCCCTACCTGTCTCTCTATTTCCCTGGTGTTGTGGTCGCTTTGGGCTTGACAAGCGTAGTAAGTTCTCAGGCTGTGATCACTGACGTCCTCAAGAAAGTCCGATAACTCGTCCTTGTCTGCCCGGAAGTGTCTTCTCATTCTGTGAAACTTTCGACGAGCAACGTAGCCTCGCAGTCGACTCTGTACGAAGATCACGTGACGAAGAGCCCGTTCTAATGCCGTGTCTAAATAGTCCTGATGCCACCATGCCAACATCACCTGAAAATGAGGCCCGTGCTTTTAGTCATCACAACAGCAATCTGTGAACGGACAGTAACATAAGTTTCATTCAAACGGTAAGAAAATTACTACCCTTAATAAAAGTATTTTGCATTGGTTGGTTGGGGATCGGGTGTCCCGGAAATTGGCATTTTGATACAGAAATCGGGAGGAAGATTAGTGATCATGAAGGGGTTGTTGGTTGGTTGGTTGGTTGGTTACAGAAATCGGGAGAGAGATGGCTGATTATGAAAAGGTTGGTAGTTAGCTGGCTGGTTGGTTGGTTGGCTGGTTGTACTGACTGCAGATATGTGAGCGGGTGAGCAAGAAGGTAACACATGGTAAAATACAAATATGAATAAAGAAGGTTTATAGTAAATTTTCTATGGTATTTGTAGTATGTTATGGATTGTTGATTCATAAATCCTACAGGTGGATGATTGACTATGAATGAGAAACGTGGAAATGGAAACATGGTTTATGACGGGTTACATATACATGGAGTTGGATGATTGAGTTAACTGCTGGTTCGTGGTTGATGGAGATTACATAAAGGTCATCAGTATGTATTCTATAACAGCACCGTACAGCTTCCACTTGGACATGTACGCTGACAAGTGGATCGATACTTCCAGCATAATGTCAGAAGTACAACTGCATGTATCACAGTCACTTACCTCCAAGATCAGCCTCGGGTTCCACATATTTACATCAAGAAAAACTAATATAAGTACTGGGGATCGGAATAACAAGATTAGGATGTTTGGAAGATCGTTTAATCTGGATACCGGGCCAAAGAAATTATCAAAGGAGGCTGAGATGCACGGCTCTTACCTTCGTCCCTCATCTTAAAGATATTATGTGGGATTTTGTTACTTTGACAAGCTATAAAGAACACAGTATGTCCGGCCAATGGCAAAATAACCTGCGAGTTTCAAATGACAAATGTGTATAAGTCTATGCATAATGAAACAAATGAACAAATAACACAAAACACAGAATTTTCGTCATAAACCTCTGATACACTTTATTATATCTTCCTTCCACTTCACCTCATCTCTGGAAGCGAGATTACCATCTTAATGAAAGACAGTCTTAAACCTTAGGAGTATACATGAAACGACAGAATACAACCTTTGTACTCACTCTCTGACAGGATCGGATGTCATTTATCATACCATGTGGGAGCTCGTAACTACAACGATACTGCAATGTGCTCTTACTGGAATATCATTTTCTTTCGCTTACCTTTTCGCAAACACCTGGTACCGTTCCTATTTCAGTGATTATTAAAAACCTTAGACTAACATCTAGTCTCTGAATTGATCATATGTTACAGAAAAGAAGCTCCTAAATTATAATCATAAAATAAAATGAAAACGATCCCAGAGACTTTCTTCTGTGGAGATCTAGTCTTGCCACATATTCTACACTTGCATGGGCTTTCTTGGATAAATTTGTTTCAGGATCTGTATGACAGAGTATAAAAACCTTCTTATGACATTTTAGGAATACTATTGACTCTGCCAGATGCCGACATATATACCTGAAACAGCTGCTTCAACTCAACCCCTCTCACTCACTCACTGACATACTCACCTTCCTTTGTCTGACCTGCCACCCTCCGTCAGGGATTCCAGCTTTTCTAATTACCCGGTGGCACGCCCCCTGTGGTGAGTCGATCCGGGCAGAAAGAGGGAAGCCCACAAATCTATACCTGCAAGATTACACTGAAGTTTTATGACTCTATTACTAGTCTCCCCATCTGTTCATGCCCAGCTTTGTTCCCAGGCATATGTGTTGTGTAATCAGAATGTTCTTAAAACAGTAAGACACGTGTAGGGCGTATGATTACTCCCACGAGGTCGATAATCAACACGGAGAAATTACATACCTTAAACCTCATGTCCATTTCAGAAAGGTAATATTGAAAACAAATGGGGAAAAAGTTAAACATTACGTTAGAAACTTTTTATGTTGCTATTCCGGTTTCCATTATGAACAAACTCTTCCAAACACAAGAAATTAAACCCTTTACTATGGGAAGATGATGTTACTCAAATGGAAAACCAGCAGGGGTATCGACTAAAATAGATTAAATAGCATAGGTAAAGAAGTGAACAATTTTTCTCCAAGCAGGTCTGTGCATGTTAGGCGTCATTGTAGCGAAAGATTATTTCCGCTCCTGTTATGTGCCATGAATCGTTCACTAGGGTTGGGGAAGTCTCTATACCAATAAAGCCGTGAAACTTAGGCTGGGTTATCGGGACAGAAGCACAAACCCTTTCGGTTCATACACAACTATTAGAATGCTATACATGGGATTCACCTCCAGTCTTTCGTCTAATTAAGTCTTGAAACCTTTCTGAAACAATCCCTATTGGAGTTCGCAGAATTTTATGAAATTGCACCCTAACTGTTTCAACTACCAGCCCTAACCTTGGATACAAGATTGGGATTAATGTAATCAAGCTTCATGTCTGTTTCCAAGTCACTTTAATGTCCAGTAAAAAAATGATAGGTTCTTTACAGCACCATCTGTAGCACTGTTTCATCACCGTGGCCACGTCAACATTACCACTTAACGCTAAATCACCGGTGTTTAGGGTTCTTCGAAAAGTTCATTTTGTTACATGGACGTAGCGTGCTGAGAAGAGGGAAAGACACAAACCGATCAATGAAGTCTCTGATAGTGATCCTGACAGGGTAACCGATGGACCTTATGCGAGCAGCTTCGACAACGTTCATGGCAGTCAACTGTCTGGCGACAACGTCCGCGTCAAACACACCTGGTTGCAACGTCATGTTGGGACGGATGCACCTACAAACAGACATTCAATAGAATCTTGTGACCTGACCTTTGTAATACAGCTACTGGTGACATGTAATCAAGAGTCTCTCCTCGCGATCTGCAGCTGTCGATCAGGTGAATGTCCCTATGTTAAATCGTACATTTCCTTTTTTCTTTTTTTTTGGCACATTAAAGAACACTTGACACGTTTCTTTCACAGGATGTCCAAATGTACAATTTGCATGCATAGTGGGCCGTCAAGATGAGATCCAGATCCTTCCCCTCTGCACTGCATGATGACATAATGGACGCACTCTTCACTTCCTTTTACTGCTTCCACTCTATTTACGCACACCAAACAGTAACATACAAATATTACACTTGCAGTGAATTCTCATTTTATACACCACAATAGACCAATCTGAATATCTCACGACTTCCGAGATTTGTTTCACTCAAGTACATTTTCATGAGAACTTTGAAAAGTGCTGAATCGGTTAGCAGTAATTTGTCATTGGTAAATTTGTCTCTCCTTTGATAGGGGAATAAACATGTGTACTAGTTTCCGTTAGTTTCCATGATTCGTTCATCCAGCCATTTGATTTTCCGGGCGATATCCTATGGAAACGACACCGTCTCCACTTCACAGTACACAGTGACCTGTGTTTATAACGTTTTATTTCAAATCGCTTTTGATAACAACGAACATTAATGTATGTTTGCGGGGGGGTGGGGGGTGGGGGTGTTAACGGTCGTGCGTTAAATTGTGAGAAGACCGTGTGGCATTTAATGTAAATCAAAATTTCGTTTCTCATTTTACCCTTGAAGAAAATAAGAGCTTCATGGACGGTTTTGTGCAACATATATGCGTGCCTCACGTAGGCGAGCAGGCTTAAAGATCACAATGACATCGAGATCAATCAATGTAAGAAAACTGGCGCAGAAGTTCATGTAGAGCTAAAGTGAAAAACATGTACATGCCAAGAGTCTACTTCAACGTACCAAACATGCTGCATTTCTCGTCCTTCTAGTCGTCGGAACATCGCCCTCAGAGCTTCCTGGAAAGGTCAGAAACAGTAAAATGTCAAATATTAGACACGAAGCTCTGATTGAGCTGCGATAACCATCACTTATCCGTAGGGACTTCTGGTCGGCTGTGGTGGACATAAATGCTTGAAGGAACAAAACGGATATTTGATGATTGACAGGTTCCCGAGCCATTGGAAGGATAATAAGTCATCAGGGATTGTCATGCAATTTGAATCGTGATAGCATTTCTTGGAATATTCCCTTCGAGTCATTCCCAAGACTTACCTCCTCACACCGATAATAGGTCATATTGATACATTTGAATTATTAGTTTTTTGTGGTCGTATAATAATGTGCTTCGGGATATAGGTATTGATTTTTAACTGTTCGTCTACGCAATGATCAATTCATAACATAAGGTATTAAACTGACCTTAAAGCATTATTCCAGCAAAATGTGTGTACCACGACATATATATATACCCCAGTCTGTGTTTGGTACTTCCGTGGTTGGTAAAACAAACAACAATCATCTGGGGTCTCAAAGACTAGTACTTGTTAAGACCTAGGTCAACGCTAGCGAATAACTGGTCGGATTATCTACCGAAACTGTTGGTACATTTGGCAAATTAGTTATGAACACTGTGAATGAAAATAACCAGTCAAGACACTGGGTGTCCGCAGAAGAGTAAACCTATCTACTCAAACAAATTTCTTCACTAAAAGGTTAACGTGTGTCAGTGTGTCGGCTTACTCCGCAACAGCAGTCAGCAGTTAAGTCTGGTGAAATTATGAACACATCCTCTGGATATGACTCCAAACCATTCGACCATCTTCAGTAACATACGAGCTCCCAACAACGACATCAGCCCTGGAAACTCCTACTGGTCTTTTGACACGAAGGATTTACACTTCAATACCCAATGCTGTTGAATATGATTTCACTCTGCTGACCTTTAACGTTCATCTCAAAACTTACCGCATGTTTCTGTGTTAACGTGAGGTCATCAGGTGTGTCGTCAGCTTGACTAGAACGTCGTGAACTGCCACAAAACAACCAACAATACATTCACACATTACCCTCAACACTGTTTCGATGACATTCTGAAAGCATTGTCTCCTTCGTTTTCAGATTCATCAGCATCTCAATCATTTCGTGTGTGCCGATGCATCTGAAGGCCAAGGCCGTTATAACAAATAGTAGTGATGTTTTTCACTGCTAAGAAACGGAAACCTTGCGCAATAAAAACAACAAGAATCCCAAGACCACAATTAGATGATCGAAATGTATGACGAATGGTCTCTGACGAAAAGTTCTCAGGTCTTTGAGAGAGGCATTAGCGGTGATTTCAAAACCAATTTATTCCTTTAAAATTTCAAGAATGTCAGTAAAAGGTATACCCATCGCACAAGGAAATATTCTTTACCGAAGATTGTGAAAAGAGGATAATGTGTATGGGCTGAAATAATCCTTCATTTGGATCTATGTGTTCTTGAAAAAGGACATCGAACTTAAACTGCTCATCACTCCCGATAATTAACTAAAAAATAGAACAGAAAGGTTTTCAAAAAACCTTTCTTTCGACGAACCTTTAAAAACATCATTATCGATAAAATTTTCTTATGTCAAAACAAAGTAGGAATGTACTTATCTATTCGACCCTTAAAGGAATATATCCTACATTGTATGTGAGGTCTTCAACGAAGACAATTTAAAAAATACAGATAAGTTTTTAGAGTGAAAAAATGAATGCCGCAAATGTATCAGACTGTCTGTATTGCTTTTTTGATGAGCATTTTAGAAGTTGAGTTGATGAAGAATGATGACACTTTTTATGGATATACAACTTTTTTTTAGCGACGTTTCGACATAAATTCTAAGTCAGCCATTGCCGACCACATCAAAGCCCACCCTAACCACACTATCAACCGGGACAACACCAAGACCACAGAAAGGAACCAGTCAGACTACAAAATTTGTAAACTTTTGGAAGCAGTGCATATCAAGAAGATAGGCCCCGCCCTCAACAGAGATGAATGATGTTACATTCCTAATGCCTACCATCACTTGATAAAGTAATCATCTATAATTCCTAATTATATTTCTTGTGTACATCATCTGTTTCTATACTGCTTATACGCAACATGCCATACAAGCTTTGTACGTCAACACCATCTAATGTATGCTAGCCACATAAAGAAACTGTGCACACAGACAATTCCTTCAGAATTGGAATACAACACAGAAAAGACGACATGATGTAGACACTTTATAAGCTGAAGTATAGGGCCTCAAGAACATGTCAAAAGAACATGAATAATATCAGTAACGATGACGTCAGAAGTTCAAAATTGAGTGGGGGGTCACACGTCGAAGTCGCAAAGTCAATAACGGGTATGACCATCAGGCGCGTGAAGCACAGCAGTGCATCGACAACGCATAGAGGCTACCAAATTTTCCAAATGAAGGCCTGGGGAATGGTTTGGGACGTGGTCACCGCCGTCTGGAACCTGTGTCTGATATGAGTAACCCGAATCCATCTGTCCTCTCTTGGCGTCGTTACTCGGGGACGCCCAGAACGTGGGTGATCGGCGACGTCATCACTGTTTCCCTAACGCCTGACCAATGCAGATATCGTGTTACGATTGCATTGGAAATGTGCTGCCACCTGTTGTTGGCTCATGCCTGCTCGAACCAATATGAGCACATATTAATCTTGGCATGATGTGCATGTGACTTTTCATGTGAATTTGTGAACGTTTGAATGACCAAAGATCAAGCTTTCGACAGTGACATCAATTTCTGAGTTTCACATGTTGTGTGCAGCTGCACAGGCTGCACGTGCAGTAACACATTGCAAGTCCATAGGCCACCTGCATGAGCGTTTGATTGTCTCCAATATTTGCTATGTTCACACCTTTATTTATGCATAAAGACGCTGTCTGCCTATCTTTATATTTTCTGTGTGCACAGTTTCTTTATGTGGCCAGTATATAAACATTCACCTTGGCTTCCTATCATTTGTATAGCTCTAAATCTACCCCTGTATGTTACCTACTGGCTTCCAAATAACTCGTCTCCTATACAACCTTGTACATCAACCTCATTTACTGTATAAACAACTCATCCCCAATCTATTGTAATAACAACTCATGTATATATTCTCTCAATTTGTTTCTCACGTACCTCTTCCTTGACAACCACATTAGAATCTATGTCGAAACGTCGCCTCCACAGAATAAAAGAAGTTGTATATCCATAAAAAGTGTCAGCATTCTTTGTCTATATTGGTTACAAGAAGGTTTGGTGGTGGATCATGGTACTGGTCGCCTACCGTCTGTCGTGTGGCGTGGACATGAGTTCATGCAGTAAGGGTTTCTGGCTGTATTCCAGTAAAGCGTCAAAGGTTCGGACACTGACCGGTCTGTTCTTTGTCAGCAATACCTCGATGTTGTATATAACCTGCATGGAGAACATATGACTTGAAAAACACGTGGACAGTAACAGTACGAAACTGAGTCTGTGTCGAGATAAACAGTCACTTTCTTACCAGTCACTTAAGTAGCATTGTTTGCAACGCGGTCACTGTCTACGCAGGTGACCTGGGTTCTCCTCCCTACACTGTTAATGTGCGAATACTGTAATTGGTGTTCTGTTGCGAGTTACATCCATACTCAACAACTCAATGGTCCAGCTGTCTACCCATACGTTTACCTATGTGTGGTTGCACATTCAAATATATTTTCTATTTCTCATTCGTTTACATCTCTAACACCCTACGGAATTTAATTCTTTTCAAGCGTTTCTCCCCTCATCAACCCTCCTTCCTCCCTTTCATTTCTCTTCGTGAGATCTTTACATTCGTCCGTCCTTGATGTTTTTTCTCTATATGTCTATCCAGTGTGCGTGACGAGTGCTCATGAGTCCAATTGAAATACCCCTCTCCCTAGAAATTTCAATCGTAAGATGACACGATCAACAATTTACCGTGTCAGTTTCTTACAAGATGTGAAGGACGTCAATGTAAGAAACACACAGTCCAGTGTAAGCGTACCTGCCCCCGATGGTGAATGACCATGAATGTGTTACTTGTAGGATCTGTCTTCACTACAGAGGATTTCATGCTGTGTCTCTTGCTGATGTCGTTCAGCAGGGCCATTTCGGAGTTCGGACTGGGGTCTGAGTTCTCGTCGATAAGGCGTAGCAAGCCAATATTGCTCTGAAATTAAGTGTAGAGTTTTGTGTCATAATTACACCAAATATCCAGGGTTGTCAAAGGTAATGCTTTGAATGAAGATCATCACTGGAAGTAGCTTTATGTACTTCCCCCAGTACTACGGGCAGAATGTTTTGAAAAACCTTCTCAAAAACGAAATGTTGAATGCCATAACATTACTTTTCTGTTTTTCTGGCTGATTTCAAATCTGCAATCATGACATGACAGAAATGCATGTTTTGCTTGATTATCAAGACATGTCCTTTCAAATTAATCACAGTTAAAATCTGACATTTTTCATCTTCCATTTTTCAATGGAAGCTACTCTATCTCTATCTCTGGCAAATACAGCTCTCGGGGTGTCGGGGAAAATATACCTCCTTTTATAATTGTTTCGTATGGACTTTCATTGATAGTTTTCACATACTGCACCAATGAAGAAAACGATGTTTTAACTAAACTCCCATCTACCCAACATTCGATCTCTAACTTCCTTCTGAGTAAGGATCTGAGCTTCTTTCGTTCATATTGATGTGTGTTTTCAAGAATGGGGTTTACATATGGTACAGATGGAATAGTCGGTCGTTGTATCTAAACTACTAAACACACAAAGGGAAACTTACAACACCGTCAGTAAATTAGTTCTGATTTCGACCGGTTCCACTTGCACACCTAGTCATACAATCCAGTCAACAGCGAAAATATGCTTTCTTAATTGTCAGTGATTGACCTTAGTTTTACCCACTGTAGGCCCGAGCTAATCTATATGCTGCAAACATCCCTAGCAAACAATACATATATTTCGTCCTATAAGTGAGTTAGGGAATAAGTCAGTCAGTCAATCTCATCATTTTGTCGTTTGTTCAATATTTCTACATATTACAAACGTATGGACATTATACTTATTCGTACTCCATATCTCTGACAGTTCAAAACAGTTCCTTCCCCTACGAGAATGTTAGACGTACATTTTCGCGAAGGGCGAAACTATTCTGAAAAAACACATTCAAAAGGAGTGTGCACGTTTTTCCGTTTTACTAAGACGATGGGACAATTGCAAAGTTAGGCAGTTTGTGTAAACGTTTCTAAAATAAAAGTTGAGATTTCCAGAGCACCAAGGAGACACAATATTCGCTAAAATCACCCTTGGCGTATAGTCATATGTCTCCGTTTCTTAATCGGGAATAGATAAAGATGCATGCGCTTGCAAATGGGACTAGTTCCTTTGATGGTGACAGGAAATCACTTTTTTACGCACAAACATGTGAACCCTGTAGGAAACAGTTCAACACAGGTGTTAGATTGTTTCCGAGAGTAACTCGCTCAACGTAACCTTACACAAGATGTACATAAACAAATTTAAACGCACTTTTTAAGTTAAAAAAATAGTCCAATACCGTCAAATGCAAAAAAATATGAATAACATGTAAAACTTCCAGATATCACAAACGAAATGAACGACTTTGTCAATTGGATTCGAAATAAAAAAATTCCGACAGATACTTCAATCATGGTAATGCTGTCTTCGAGTGACGCTCCTGCTACAATAGTTTGAAAATTTGCATTTCTCATGCAAAACCAATCTAATTCACGACTTTTTAAGCAGACATTTTCAGGACTGTTTTCAACAAATTGCTTTTTAACAAGAAAAATGGTTACAAGGGAATGGACTTTTGTTTTGAGTATCGGTTATTTGTTTGAAAGGTAAAAGACTTAACAGGCCTTCTTTTCAATATATATGCAAAATCGATATAAAGAACGAATCGAAGGTTTTAGATAACCAGTCATTAGCTAGGCACGTGATAAATGTCATTGGAGAGGAAAAAGTAAGATTGCACGAAGCTCGTAATTTACTATTTTGCCATATCTGAGTAAAACTTAATCAAATGACATGGTACCACCTCTTTGGTGGTGTAGTCAGACTGTTTGCCTTGCGAGCGACAGTTTAGTGATATATAAGGTGAGTGTACTAACTGCAAGCAGTTTATATAGTGATAGTTCTAATTGTAGTAGTGAGTGAGAGACTGGTACCGCGTTTAAGAAGGAAATTACAGTTGACTGTTTTACGAGATTCTTGGGCATGTAGAAGTTGGTGAATATATTAGACAAGTATATGGATGGCAACTTCTTATTTATTGTATAACACAACGTTTCTGGGCCTCTTCTTGTTCCTTGATTAAGTGATTGAATCCAAATACTTGACTGTTTTACCATGACCAACAAGCAGTTTATGTAGTGATAGTTCTAATTGTAGTAGTGAGTGAGAGAGTGGTACCGCGTTTAAGAAGGAAATTACAGTTGACTGTTTTACCATGACCAACAAGCAGTTTATGTAGTGATAGTTCTAATTGTAGTAGTGAGTGAGAGAGTGGTACCGCGTTTAAGAAGGAAATTACAGTTGACTGTTTTACCATGACCAACAAGCAGTTTATGTAGTGATAGTTCTAATTGTAGTAGTGAGTGAGAGAGTGGTACCGCGTTTAAGAAGGAAATTACAGTTGACTGTTTTACCATGACCAACAAGCAGTTTATGTAGTGATAGTTCTAATTGTAGTAGTGAGTGAGAGAGTGGTACCGCGTTTAAGAAGGAAATTACAGTTGACTGTTTTACCATGACCAACAAGCAGTTTATGTAGTGATAGTTCTAATTGTAGTAGTGAGTGAGAGACTGGTACCGCCTTTAATAAAGAAATTACAGTTGACTGTTTCACCATGACCAACATTAATCAATCCACAATAGTATCCTTGGATAGCTGTTATATTTAAAAATACTCTCGGTTTTTGTTTGATTCCATACAGACATGTCAATAGCGTATAGCACTTACATCCTTTAAAGTTGAATAATTCACTTGCCTTGCATGTGTTTGTGACATGTGTTGTAGTGCCTGGTGGGACATGATACCCACAGCTTTTTCACAAACACCTGTTATCATCACGCTTTGATGTGATTCATAAATCCTGCTTTGGGTATAGTCGAATCCTATAATCTATTCTGTTTTAGCAGATATTTCTTTTGATTATACATTATAAATAGTTTTGTCACTATAAATGAAATGAGATTCAACATCCCTTGAACATTTGTCAGTTATATCAAGGCATGTCATCCTCATGTTGGTCCAGACTGTTAAAGACAAAATATATAATACTACCCATCAAAAGTTTAGACTCACTTAAAGCATTCACTATATGTTATGTATATATATATGGTTACACCAGAGATGAATTTCTCCCCTAACTTTGGGGAACCAACTGCAAACCTTATGCAGATGAATTGCAGGAGGATCATACATCAAATTGCTGAAAGCATGTGCAAATATCGTGCATGTGAACAGCTGCGTTTTGGTGTAAAGTGTTGTTAAGAATTCACAGATTTTCACTGAGTATCATCATTTATTTGTTTTACTCATGACAATAATCATTTCAACGTTATGAATTTGTCTTTCAATACATCAGTTCATGTGTAAACAGTACCTTTAAACAGTATGGAATATTTTGCAAAATCTAGTTTAGAGCAGGTGACTGAAGTTAGTGGCTACATTTATACTAGTGAGTCTAAACTTTTGATGGGTAGTGACGCTACTTATACACAGAACAAATATACCTATTTATGACCTACTTACATTATAGGCTGTATTGATTATAGACAGAACATATATACTTATTAATGATACTACTTATATACAGAACATATGTACTCATTCCTGAACCTAATTACATTATAGACTGTATTGATGAAAGACAGAACATATATACTTATTCATGACCCTACTTATATATACAGAGCATATATACTTATTCATGACACTACTTATATATACAACATATATACTTATTCATGACACTACTTATATATACAGAACATATATACTTATTCATGACACTACTCATATATACAGAACATATATATACTTATTCATGACACTACTTATATATAGAGAACATATATACTTATTCATGACACTACTTACATAGAGAACATATATACTTATTCATGACCCTACTTATATATACAGAATATATATACTTATTCATGACACTACTTATATAGAGAACATATATACTTATTCATGACACTACTTATATAGAGAACATATATACTTATTCATGACACTACTTACATAGAGAACATATATACTTATTCATGACACTACTTACATAGAGAACATATATACTTATTCATGACACTACTTATATATACAGAACATATATACTTATTCATGACACTACTTATAGAGAACATATATACTTATTCATGACACTACTTATATAGACAGAACATATATACTTATTCATGACACTACTTATATGAGAACATATATATCATATTCATGAAACATATATACTTATTCATGACACTACTTACAAATATACATATTTATGACCATTATATACTGTATTCATGACAGAACATATATACTTATATACACTTAGAGAACATATATAATTACATTATAGACTGTATTGATGACAGAACATATATTATATATGACCCTACTTATATATACAGAGATATATATATACTTATTCATGACCCTACTTACTACAGAGCATATATACTTAGAACTACTCATATATACAGAACATATATACTTATTCATGACCCTACTTATATAGAGAACATATATACTTATTCATGACACTACTACTATATATATACATACAGAATATATATATACTTATTCATGACACTACTTATATAGAGAACATATATACTTATTCATGACACTACTTATATAGAGAACATATATACTTATTCATGACACTACTTATATATACAGAACATATATATACTTATTCATGACACTACTCATCTATACAGAACATATATACTTATTCATGACACTACTTATATAGAGAACATATATACTTATTCATGACACTACTCATATATAGAGAACATATATACTTATTCATGACACTATTCATATATACAGAACATATATACTTATTCATGATCCTACTTACATTATAGACTGTATTGATGATAGACAGAATGTCGATACTTATTCATGACCCAACTTATATGCAGAACATGTATATTTATTCCTGACAAAATCTACATTATAGACTTTACTAATTATAGACAGAATGTATACACGTATTCATGACGCTATGTATATTACTACGTGTATTGGGTATAGACAGAACAAATATACTCATTCGTGGCGCAACTTATATACAGAACATATATACTTATTCATGACGATACTTACATGGCAGCCTGTATTGTAATTACATGTATTGCACATATATAGTTATTCATGACGACGATACTTACATGACAGACTGTATTGTAATTATATGTATTGCACATATATAGTCATTCATGACGATACTTACATCATAGAAAGCATCAAGAACCTCTGAGTTGTCCCTGAAGTTGGTGTTTTCAACTTTGATGCCATCAGTTTCAAGGTCATAGAATTCTTGCCGGAAGACCAGTTCAGTCACTTGATCCTGGAGCCTCTCCTCCGCCAAGTTAAAATGAAGCTGCTCTAAACTGTTGGTCCTCAAGTTCTCAAAGCCCGGAAGATCCAAAATACCGACGGTTTTAAGTTGTTTCCTATGAAGCGGTGTGACTGATTGAAGCGCATTGGATAAGCTTATATCTTAAAAGTTTCATACATTTGTGAGACTCAGGAGCTCGGGTATGGTGGTGACAAATCTAGATTCAACACCAGGAAAAATTCCAATATTTAACTTATCGTACCAATATACATATATCTCTATACATATTTTGTACAAAATTAGATTTGAAATATGTTTTCTCTTACATCTCTCATCAAGCCACCAGCCTATATACAACTAAACGTGGGACTCGAGAATACACGACACATTTCATTTTAAAGAACTATAACATATAGCTTACGACTTGTGTCTATACTGTACAGGTGGAGCAAGTCTGTTATTGATCATTTTGACCACCCATTCAAAGAGCTGGAAATAGATGTGCCGAACTAAAGAGTTCCTGGTCAGACTGGCGCCGCTTGTATCCCGCCTATACATCATCCGTTGACCTGGAGCAGGTGAAAACACAAATAATTAGGAATGTCATAAAATAAAACCTTCTTTTTTAGCCTGGTTGTCTGGGTATGTCGCGCTAGTGCTTCTTCGTTGGCGCTACTATAGAACCCATAGAACCCACACCAGTAGAACCAGGCTTCTTCTAGTTTGACAGTCGTCATTGATAGAAAATGAATGTATAGAACACAATCAACCGAAGGTCTCTATCTCTCGTGGTTTATACAATGCTGTTTACACTCTCCAATGTGAACGACCCACCCTGAAGTAGCATCGCGAGTTGATAAACATGTACGGTTGGAGAATTGGTCCCCAGAGCCCCTGGATTGCCATGTAGGTTAGTGCTCCTTAGCCCCTCCGATGAGTGACTTTAATCCCTGATGCAACTATCACCTATGATAAGAATTCATCGAGATCTGTAGTTATATCATAACGATATCATCAAGACCAGACAATCGTAAGACTGAATACAGAGTACCTCTGCCTTATGTACCTAATGTATGACAGACAAGGAACCCGTGTTCGTCTCAAGTATGTGCTCTACCGCCATAACATAGTACAACAATTTAAGCACATCAGACAGCAGTGCGGTTACATATGAAGGAACCCAGGACGACAACGCCTCCATCAGTGACGCCCACATCACAGATACAAAAGAACATCAACGGCTATAAACGCCTCCTTTCCGACAACGTCACTTAAAACATCTGAACCATTTTCGTGCAACATCCGCTACTTTCATATGAAGAAACTTTTGAAATGTAGTGACCACGGGTCAAAGGTGAGGCTTCATAAGACTATTTTACAGATGGAGGCGATCACAGACTCCATATTTAATTAAACAAACTCTCGAGAGCCCTCTTCTCGAGCACAGGTTCCTAATTATTTAACAAAATATGGCTACAGGAGAACAATCGATTTTTAAAAAATACATCGGCGTTTTAGGTTTTCTGAGGAGTTCAGACACATTGTTTTATATCAAACTGATTTAAAGGACATTGTCGTAAAAATACAACTGTGATTTGTTCTAACGTTGAGTTATTTGGTGTATTTGGAAAGGGTAGGTCCATTTTAGCGATTGAAATCGTAACTATGTTCTGCGATTCATACAACTTCATTTTGGGGAAGTGAGACAGCGATTTCTGTATTCATGCCACACTGGAAATTCTCATATTCCTTTAGCGGTTATATCAGTGGTCAACAGCAAGCCTGTCTACTCTATACTCTCCCCAAAAAGAAACGCATCATGAAAATAACAATTTCATGTAGCAATGAATTAAAACGTGATTTATTTTACAAAAGGTTTTGCTCTGTTTATGAGTCCTATGGTGTTTATGTTTTGAAACATCACAACAAAACGCACCATCCGTAAAATATCCGTATTTAACAGCATGATTTTCAATGTCGGCGTGTAGTGTCACAGAATACACAATTCACATGCAATGCACGTGAAAGTTGGGGATCACGTGAAAGTCTCAGTGATGGGTATAAAAGGTTGATCGCTGTCTGTCGATTATTCACTGTATTTGGAATATTGTTGAAGAACGCAAAATGCCACGTCTAAGTGAAACCAACAGTCATATCGCCATTGGTTTTGCTTGAAGCTGGCCAGTCTCAACGATGCACATGACACTACTTATATAGAGAACATATATACTTATTCATGACACTACTCATATATACAGAACATATATATACTTATTCATGACACTACTCATCTATAAAGAATATATATATACTTATTCATGACACTACTTATATAGAGAACATATATACTTATTCATGACCCTACTTATACATACAGAACATATATATACTTATTCATGACACTACTCATATATACAGAATATATATATATACTTATTCATGACACTACTTATATAGAGAACATATATACTTATTCATGACACTACTTATATAGAGAACATATATACTTATTCATGACACTACTTACATAGAGAACATATATACTTATTCATGGCACTACTTACATAGAGAACATATATACTTATTCATGGCACGACTTATATAGAGAACATATATACTTATTCATGATACTACTTATATAGAGAACATATATACTTATTCATGACACTAGTTATATAGAGAACATATATACTTATTCATGACACTACTTATATGGAGAACATATATACTTATTCATGACAGTACTTATATAGAGAACAAATATACCTATTTATGACCTACTTACATTATAGGCTGTATTGATAATAGACAGAACATATATACTTATTAATGATACTACTTATATACAGAACATATATACTCATTCCTGAACCTAATTACATTATAGACTGTATTGATGAAAGACAGAACATATATACTTATTCATGACCCTACTTATATATACAGAACATATATATACTTATTCATGACCCTACTTATATACACAGGCATATATACAGAGCATATATATACTTATTCATGACACTACTTATATATACAGAACATATATACTTATTCATGACACTACTTATATACAGAACATATATATACTTATTCATGACACTACTCATCTATACAGAATATATATATACTTATTCATGACACTACTTATATAGAGAACATATATACTTATTCATGACACTACTTATATAGAGAACATATATACTTATTCATGACCCTACTTATATATACAGAACATATATATACTTATTCATGACACTACTCATATATACAGAATATATATATACTTTTATTCACACGACACTACTTATATAGAGAACATATATACTTATTCATGACACTACTTATATAGAGAACATATATACTTATTCATGGCACTACTTATATGGAGAACATATATACTTATTCATGACACTACTTACATAGAGAACATATATACTTATTCATGACACTATTCATATATACAGAACATATATACTTATTCATGATCCTACTTACATTATAGACTGTATTGATGATAGACAGAATGTCGATACTTATTCATGATCCAACTTATATGCAGAACATGTATATTTATTCCTGACAAAATCTACATTATAGACTTTACTAATTATAGACAGAATGTATACACGTATTCATGACGCTATGTATATTACTACGTGTATTGGGTATAGACAGAACAAATATACTCATTCGTGGCGCAACTTATATACAGAACATATATACTTATTCATGACGATACTTACATGGCAGACTGTATTGTATTTATATGGACCTGGAGAATACACGATATATTATAGTTTAAAGAACTATAACATACAGCTTACGACTTGTGTCTATACTGTCCAGATGGAGCAAGTCTGTTCTTGATCATTTTGACCACCCATTCAAAGAGCTGGAAATAGATGTGCCGAACTAAAGAGTTCCTGGTCAGACTGGCGCCGCTTGTATCTCGCCTATACATCATCCGTTCACCTGGAGCAGGTGAAAACACAAATAATTAGGAATGTCATAAAAAAACCTATTTTAGCCTGTTTCCCTGGGTATGCCGCTGTCGCTACTTTGTTGGCGCTACTATAGAACCCATAGAGCCCATGCCCATAGAATGGCTTCTAGGTTGTCTTTGAATATACTCACAGTGGACATTGATATTAGAATTTGAATGTATATAACACAATCAACCGAAGGCCTCTATCTCTCATGGTTTATACAATTCTGTTTACACTCTCGAATGTGAACCATCCCGTCCACCCTGAAGTAGCATCGCGAGTTAACAAATATCTTCGGTTAGTCCCCAGAGCCCCTGGATTGCTATGTGGGTTGGTGCACCTTAGCTTCTGGGTCATTTGAATACCTGCTGAAACTATCACTTATGACAAGAATTCATTGTGACCTGTAATCATACCATAACTATATCCTCAAGACCAGAATATCACATTGTCGTAAGACAGAAAAATAGTGGGGATCCGCTGGTCATCATGGCTGACTACCCATCCGATATCCCATTTATCGGCACGATAATAATCCAGAGTACCTCTGTCTTATGTACCCTAATGTATGACAGACAAGGACCCGTCTTCGTCCCAGCCATAACATAATAACAACAGTTTAAGCATATCAGACAGCAGTGCGGTTACAGATGAAGGAACCAAGGACGACAACGCCTCCATCAGTGGCGCTACGACATCACAGATACCAAAAGAACTTCAACGCCTATCAACGCCTCCTTTCCAACAACGTCACCATCTGAACCATTTTCGTGCAACATCCGCTGTGCTTTAACCGCGCTGTAGTGGTCGTAGACGACGCTACTTTCATGTGAAGAAACTTTTGAAATGTAGTGCCCACCGGTCAAAGGTGAGACTTCATAAGACTATTTTGACAGATGGAGGCGATCACAGACTCCATATTTAATTAACCAAACTCTCAAGAGTCCTCTTCCTGAGCCCAGGCTCCTAATTATTTAACAAAATATGGCTACAAGAGAACAATCGATTTTAAAAAATACATCGGCGTTTCAGATTGAAGCGGGTTTTTAAGGAGTCTGGTCACAACGGGTTATATTAAACTGATTTAAATAAAAATACAACTGTGATTGGTGCCGACGTTGAGGATGTAATTGGTAAGGGTAGGTCTATTTTAGCGATCGAGATCATGCCTGTGTCCTTCGATTCGTACAACTTCACTTTGAGGTTGAAAGACAACGATTTCCGTATTCATACCACACTTATAATTCTCATATTCCTATAAGAAATCTCTGCTAAAAGCAGAGTCGATTGTACAATTGTGACTATAACATGAGTATATGTTTGTTTCAGCAGCATTACAGCTGTACGATGTTGTTTGTAAACAAATCGAGTCTGGACAAGACAATCCAGTGATTGTCACCATGCGATGACAGACGATGACAGAGCATGTGTTTATGAATCACTATGAAATAGTGATGATACCAGGTGTTAAAAGGTGAGCGTATCCTGCCCCACCGGTGGCACCCGTCATAAACATATGCTAAGTCTAGTCAATTGTTCACCTGAAATAATTCGGGAACGTATGGTATAAGTCAAAATAGGGAATTGCATCGGACATCATTTTTGTCACTGATGCATCAAATTTCTAAATGTCCTCCACATGTCTACCATAAAACTTCTTGAAAGCTTTACTGAGGCCTTGAATGTTGTAACCTTGATCAAACAACTTCTGAGCAAGAGTGGTATGACGCTCTTTGAAATCCTGATAAAAAGAGCACGCTCGATTGTACCTCAAAAGTTGTGAAATGTAAACACCAAAGGCTGGAGCTGTTGGAATATTGCTCGACATGAAAGGGAAGTTGACTATTGGAAAGTTGAAATCATCCCTTTTGTCATACAGCCTTGTGGAGAGTTTTTTTGTCACTCTGAATCTTTATGCATAGATCTAAATATGAAACAGTTGAGGCGGTCTCACTTGTCTCCTTAATTTCAAGTTCAGGTGGGTAAATCAGTGGAAGGCAATTGGCTATTTGATGGTTATTGAACGATATTAAATCATCGATGTACCGGAAGCTTAAGTTAAACTTCTTGGCCAAATTACCTTGTTTTGATTTTGCCAACCCAAAGAAAATTCTGATTCATATGCATAAAGAAACAGATCCGCAAGGAGGGGAGCACAATTGGTGCCCATGGGGATGCCTACTTCTTGGCGAAATGTTTTACCCCAAAATTTCACAAAGATGTTATCAATGAGAAAGTCCAGCATTCAGGGATTTGTTGGTACATTTGCTGGAACCAGCCATAAATCTCTCTTGTACGGATTTTTATGCAGTTTTGGAATCCAGGGAAAAGAGGAATGGACATGTGTTCAGGTTTTAGGGTCAAGCCAAACGTTGATAGCACCGTTGAATGGTTTAGGCAGATTTCTTCCTCAGTAAACATACTGGCTTTATATGTGGTATTATTTCATATGTCATGTATACCAAGCTCATTGATCAAACAATTTTGGTAATGATGTTTACATAAAATGGTTATGTTATTTGAGACCTTGTCAGCGGGAATAACTACAGGCTTTGCATGCAGGGCAGCCAGACTTTGGATGACCACTGGATGGAACAGAATGGGTCTATTCCAATTCTGTTTCCTCTTCTTCAGTTTGTGTATTCTACCGATGACAACATCGCGTACCGACTTAACCCACTCTGAAGTTATCCCTAGTTATTAACTAAGGTTTCCAAACCACATGACTGGAGCCACAGGGGGAAATATGATGTTTGCTGGAGTTCACTCCCTGAGGTCAGACTGTTCAAGTGAGGATTATGGAACCAATCCCTTGACATAGGTTATGTCATGTCAGGAGCATGATTTAGGAAGCTCATGCTTTATGCTCGTGATGACTATTGTCACAACGGTCATTAATTTCACCTACCTCCTGAATATCCAAAGCGTGTCAAGAACAACCCAGAAATGTCCTGCGCTTGAACTCCCAACAAATCGGCAGCTGAAGAATATATTACACACAATGTAAACTTGTATACTGATGGTAACCTAAATGTTTGTACTGGCTGTTTGTTATTTATATATGTGCGTGTTGCAAGATTTCATAATATACTGATCAAATATGTTAGGGATCGTGAATATCCATGGCTTTGCGGCGAAGACTCAGCAAACGATTAAAGAAAACTGTCCCAAAACAAATCCTTCATATCCCTCACCTATTTGTTCAGTATATTTAGAAAAGAATGAATATCCTCTGAAATTACAACGCAGAATGACACAAGGACGATGGCGCCAGTTTAATATTACTTAACGCCATGAAACTCTAACAAAGATGCCATCTATTAACTAATTTTGGTATGACGCGGTCAGGGAACAGAACACTCGACTTTCCATCCTCCAGCCAGACTAACTGTCAAGTACACCATGGAGGCAACATATACGTGTGTGAACGTGTAAGTCAGTACTGATTGCATCCTTTAAAATGTCACCAAATTTGTTTTTTCTATTTTTCTGACTGGGATATTCTTTTTCTGTATTGTAAATATGTCATAAATACAACAGATGTATTGTGCGAGAGCTTAGTGAACATAATACATGTTTTTATTATTGATCCTATGTATACCACATAAAGATGACAATCTCTTCACGATACAATGTCAGTCTTGAGATATTTGATGTCTTCAACGACATTCCACTCCAGACACTGGGCAACACTCACCTTACTGAATACACGTATATTGTTACCTGATTGAATCTGTATTCAGATAAACAAAATTAAAGTTTAATAGGAAAAAATGCTGTATATTTCCTATTGGGAAGTATAGAGTTTTGTTATAAATGTCAAACATATTCAACTGTACAGTCCAATTGCATGTTTTTATGTGTAGGGTTCAAGATACCACAGTTCCACTGTACTGCTAAATGGTTTGTTGCCATGTTAACTACACTTTGGCTGTCTGTTGTTGAAGGCCGCACTCAGCAATATTCCTTCAATATGGCGGCGGTCTGTAAATCATCGTGTCTGGACCAGATAATCCAGTGATCAACATCATAACCATCGATCTACTACAAACACACAGACTGTCGGAATTCCCGCTTTAAGCATATTGGTAGTGTTAAGGAAACAAATATGCGTCGCATTAAATGCGGGTAAATGTGGTACTATCGTTCATTGATCCGATCGTCATATTACTTCAGTCGAGTGGTCGGTGTCAGTCTTTCATTCATTCATTCATTCATTCATCAAAGATTCATTGTGGTTATGTGTACGTTTTAAATCAAAGACGACGCTGTTTTAATATTTGCTTCATATCGACCAACCTACAGTATCCACAATGGAACACAGATGCATGTAACTCGGGAAGGAGAAATACGAAAATACAGCAAATGTGATTGTCGAAAAGAGTTGCATCGTAAATGGAATAATATTGATTTTTATGTTAATCCTTCAGAGGACATAAATGGGTGAAGAATTTTTTTTCTGAACAGTGACATGTTAAAGCGTTTTATCAATACATTTCACTGGACAAATTCAAACGAATGCCTCCCAACAATTTGTATGGAACACCTACGATATTTTGCTAACATCGCATAATTTTCAGATGACTGACGTAATATCAAATGTAAATGATTGTATCTCACCAAACGTTGAAACGCTTTAAACCTGCACAGTTTTTAACCAAGTTTCAAACATCGTAATTGAGTCACTTTTAGCACTAAGTAGTAATACACAAAGTCGTAACATGTTTAGTGCTAAGCAAGCCTGAAATTCGAAACTGAAGAATGCAATTATCTGTTAGGATTACTTTAAGATGTCGTATTGTAAATTCAAACCATCACCGCCTGGGAAAAAAGGGAAACCTTGTTTGAAAATCTTAGCTTGAATGTACAGAAGCGGAAGTCTTTCCGTGAAATTTGTATAGATTAAACAAGTTTCTTGCAAGCATTTCAAAATGCCATTAGCTTGAGCTTCATTCATGTGGTGCAGCTTGGTGCAGAGAAGTTCTATGCGCAAACCCCGACAAGACCCTGACTATAGTTTCTCGGTTCTCTCATTGAGTGTCTTGGTAGATTAGTCAAACATAGTGATTATCTTTGTATTGTTGAAGGACACTAGGTCGCTTATACATCTGAAACTGGGGCTGAATTGTTCGGAAACGGTTTTGGGGTTGTTTTTTTCAATAGCGATGATAGCAGGTTTTGCTCCACCACTAGCAGCCTCCACAAACACATGCAAACGCACGTCAACTGTTAAATTGTCAATTGTACTACAATAGACTTAGCAACTATTTCTTATGATTTTCTATTTAATGTTGCCAAAAATCCGAGTCATATGTTGACCGCCTCCGTGGTGTAGTGGTTAGAGCGTCCGCCCGGAGAGCGGAAGGTCGCGGGTTCGATCCCCGACCGCGTCATACCAAAAGACGTTAAAATATGGTACTTGTTGGTCCCTGCCTGCCGCTCGGCATTAATGGATACAAGGACTGGTCGGCTCGGAGTCAGTATAATGTGTCTGAGTGGGATATTCATGCTTCACTGCGGCATGGTATCTCAGTGAGCTAGCACTATAAAACCAGCTTAAGTCTGGGCTAGTACAAGCAGCTGCACATACACATACACACGCATGCACGTCGTCATATGAGCGAAATATTCTCAAGTACGATGTTAAACCCAATCTCACCTCACCTCACCGATTCATATGTAAAGAGAGATATTAGTTATCGAATTGTCCTGACGCATGTTTCACAGATAGAAATTTACAACAACGATATACACAATTACACAACACTTAAGGGGATTGGTTAAGCCACATTCAAATCACAATATAAAGTGTGTCATTTTTTATTTTTTCAATCTACTCGATGGTGGCACTGAGAACATAAAGGACGTGATCTCAATCAGTGACACATCCGGAATATCATCCGTCGACTTCACTCAAAGATCTTTGTATGAGACGCGCGAGGCCAGGCATTAATTGACGCACAACCGACCGTTACGAGGTGTTATCACCGGGGACAACGAATCTTCAAAAGCGCCACCTAATTCCTTGTAATTTCAAGGGAATGTCATTATGATATATTATGTAGGCGTGAAGGAGATCGCCTGTAGACATAGGGATGTGTTTTGAAGTTACTCTTTCGTGCTGATTAGGTTGTCACTTAACCGATATCACAGAGCCGTGGTTCAGACGGTAATGGCGTGGGTAGACGTTCTTATCATCCGTGTGTACAACTTTATAATTAACGTTGTCCGGCAGATGAGTACGAATTTAGGCTGAAAAGTTCTGAGCCTATCTCAGAACAATGTACAGTACATCCTTAACAGTGTGCATGTATTACATACAATTTTTTATTACATCACTGGAAACTGACGAAAAGAGGCTGTTCATTCTGATTTGAAACGTCAAAACAGAACAATGTACAGTACATCCTTAACAGTTTGCATGTATTAAGTACAATTCTCTTATTGCTCACAGACTAAATTTAGAGAAAGACACATTCAATCATATTGCATATTTCTACAAGCATCAAAATAATTGTTTTGCTTTTAATTCTGCTACTTTTCAAATGTTCTCCTTGTCTCACCTGCCTCAACTTCCGTCTGGTTTGCCACAAAAGCTGCATCCGATTCCGGATCTGGCGCGAAATGAATGTTCCCAAGATGCAACAATGCACTCAAAACTTCAAATATGGCGTTCCCTGCTGTCTGTCGGCCTGATCGGAACGTCTAAAACATTTAATCAAGTAAATGAATTAGAGTTCAGTTACTTTCTCAAAACTGTAAATAATGGAGTGTTACCCGCTGGCTGCAAGAACAACGATACAATCTTAGTGCATACGTAACATGTAACACGTAACACGTAGCACGCAAGAAGCCAGTATATAGTCCATCACACATTCTCAAAGGCAGAACGATCGCTACATGAGGAATCTCGAGGTTGGAACCAATGAAAGAGGAGTTGGAATCTGACGTTGCGAAATATTTTATAAGATCATTTTAAACTGACGAAAAGGGACTGTTCAGTGAGAAATCATTTCGCTTCATGTTACCTGGTGTTCTATGCCGAGTGTATTGAGATATTCGCGGAGGTATGTATAATGTGCCTTGTTCTCCTCTGCGTCAGATACGTCCCGGTATATCTGACCCCCATCACTCGGCTCCAGGATTCTGAAAAAATATATAAGAATATTCAAAATGAGGAATACGGTTTAAAACTGTTTCGGGTTACATGACAGCCTATCAGCTGGATGAAGTAGAGCCCGAATTGATGCAGATCATATACGTTTACCACTCTTGTGAAACCCAGGAGGATTTGTGTGGCACAGACAAACCCAGGACAAATCAGGGATTCGAATCATGATCACAGGATTCTGACATGCCAAAGGGACAGCATTACCGTGATTCCGAGAATAGCTCAGCAGAAATATTAGCTACATGTTGAAGTTGGGTTTGTTTGTTTGGTTAGTTGTTTGTTTGTTTGTTTGAAGCTATACGCATCAATATCCCACCTATATGACGTCAGTCTGTAACCAATAGAGCCTGCACCACACAACCCAATGACTGACATCATGAACATCTATCTATTCATTTGCGACAAGATGGCAAGCATCAACAAATTCAGCGGGTTTGACCATCTGACCGATCCCTTTAGTCACCAATTTCGCCAAGCATGGATTGCAGCAGATCATTTCTATCCCAGATCGTAGGCTACTGAGCAATATGTAAGTGATATACATAGCACTGCATGGCATATGAGGCTAGGATTTATGTTACATTAGGGTACGCCAAACAAAGCCAGTGAGGCCATTCGTCATGGATATGGACGAGAATCATGGTATTTACCTGCAGGACGCCATTTTCCTAGGACATAGGTCAATAATGTCAATCAGTAGTTCTAGCTAAGAATAGTTGATGTTAATGCGGCGTTAAGAACTCACTCACCTGTAGGACTGATGGTGTTTATGTCGTGTCAGCATTTCCTGGTCGAATCCAACCAACATTCTGTAGAAGACGTGGAAATTCTTTTCCCCGGGTTCTGAGAACATCACGCGGTTCTTTTCCAGACCCCAAACCATTATTTCGGCTTTGAAACACACGAAAAGATAACTAACCTTTCAAAATACGTTGATGTGAATTTGAAAAATGTTCTGTTACAGGAGTTTCACTTGGACGCCAACCAGTTTAGAGTGATATCGCCGTCAATTTGCAAATTATCTTGAAGGTGCAATTCATTTTACAAAGACGTTAAACGTTTCAATCACGTGATACCTCCGACGAGCTTCCCGTCATCCCACGCGAGGTCCACAAGCTTGCCGTGTCTGCTGGAGTTGCGGTTGATACCGACATCCGCGTTGCCAAACTCCTCCAACAGGGACATTGCCTGAACATGAAAAATTTGCTAAAATACTTTTAGTATGGTAAAGACACAAACGAAAAAGGTTAAAGTTATAAAATAATAACGACTTCTTTTTGTATGCCAACATATTAAGAATATATGTCACAGGATTTGCGAAATACTTTCATACTTACGCTGCAGAATTATCTGTCTGTGTGATGCTAATGCGTAAGAATATTGATCATTTTATGATAAAAATCACGAGCTTATATAACGACCAAACTGCCCAATGCCCGAAAGAGAAGCATTTTCTGTCAAACAGGTTAACAGAAAATGCGCTGTTCAGATACTAGAAAATCCACATTTTGTGAAACGTGTACATAATTCTTTTTCGTGGGAAAATCCTATGGAGACAAATGTCAAGCTTTCTGAAATATAATTAACAGTACAGATTACACATGCCCCAAAGGTTCACCTTTAGTTAATCCAATACACAGCCATCATGGCCCAGACAACTACCATGGCTAATGTGTATTTGAATGAACAGGCATCAAGCAACTGAATTGTTTTTCTACCGTCGATGCTCCTTTTTTAAATAAATTGGTTAGAACGCTCGGACCCCTGATGTTTCGCCGTTGAAATGGCTAGTTGAATACTCGGTGCCAGGTCCTACTGGCCTAACCTTTACAGAAACAAAGTATGCAAACCGCATTGAGCAGACTGGCTACATCGCTCTGTGGAGGACCCTGATGTGGTGTGACTGTCGACAGGCGCCCGAATTGGGACACTAGGATTTTCACAGCTTCTGTCTTTCCTGAAACAGATTAAGAGATTTATCAATTTGTATATTTAGCTTTGTTCAAAAAATATTTATGCGATGGGTATGGTATAACCTCAGCTGACCCCGTTCTCCCCTGACAGAAGAATAGCCTGATCCCTGGGCCTAGATTTTCGAAGCTCTCTTAGCGCTAAGATAGTCGTAAGTGCCATACATTAACATTAACTTACGACTGTCTTAGCGCTAATAGAGCTTCGAAAATCTAGGCCCTGCTGTGTATCTGAAGGTTGCAATGGGCACGACATGGACTCACCTGACCCGTTCTCCCCTGACAGAAGAATAGCCTGATCCCTGTTATGTATCTGAAGGTTGCGATGGGCACGACATGGACTCACCTGACCCGTTCTCCCCTGACACAAGAATAGCCTGATCCCTGTTGTGTATCTGATGGTTGTGATGGGCACGACATGAACTCACCTGACCCGTTCTCCCCTGACAGAAGAATAGCCTGATCCCTGTTATGTATCTAAAGGTTGCGATGGGCACGACATGGACTCACCTGACCCGTTCTCCCCTGACAGAAGAATAGCCTGATCCCTGTTATGTATCTGAAGGTTGCGATGGGCACGACATGGACTCACCTGACCCGTTCTCCCCTGACACAAGAATAGCCTGATCCCTGTTGTGTATCTGATGGTTGTGATGGGCACGACATGGACTCACCTGACCCGTTCTCCCCTGACAGAAGAATAGCCTGATCCCTGTTATGTATCTAAAGGTTGCGATGGGCACGACATGGACTCACCTGACCCGTTCTCCCCTGACAGAAGAATAGCCTGATCCCTGTTATGTATCTAAAGGTTGCGATGGGCACTACATGGACTCACCTGACCCGTTCTCCCCTGACAGAAGAATAGCCTGATCCCTGTTATGTATCTGAAGGTTGCGATGGGCACGACATGGACTCACCTGACCCGTTCTCCCCTGACAGAAGAATAGCCTGATCCCTGTTGTGTATCTGAAGGTTGCGATGGGCACGACATGGACTCACCTGACCCGTTCTCCCCTGACAGAAGAATAGCCTGATCCCTGTTGTGTATCTGCAGGTTGCGATGGGCACGACATGCTGTCATAAAGATGTGTGGCTGCTGACTCACGGCAGAGGGCACATCTCTGTAGAAATCTCCAACCTGCAGCACCAACAGTTGGTGTTTTCAGAATTGAAAGAAACACAAAACAAAAAGCCGAACAAATGATAAACTAAAACTTCGAGGGCAGAATAGGTTGCAGGATACGCTTTTTCACCGTGGAAATCATATGTCAAAAAGCGATCGTATCGCTTCCACTATGGCAATGGTCTTTTCAAAGAATGGGAGTTGATCACCGTAACTTTAAGATTGGTTTTTGGAACAGGGCCCCGTTCCATAAAACGATCGCAGCGCTAAGGTGATCGTAACTCACATTCTTCAACATAGCCTTCCAACAGCCTTAGATCGCTTTGTACAAGCAATCGGTAAGCAACCAGTTGCCCTAAACTTGTCCTCAAACGGGAGATGTTGCTTCTTCTAAAGAACCCAACAGACATATACTTCTTAGCTCGAGTCGAAATGCTGGATTCGCTCCATTATCTTACCTCACACATAAATGTCGCTTCTCTGAGGGCTCTTCTATTATTTTCAATGTACCCCGCTTAGAAGCGAGTAACATTTCAATGTACCCCGCTGTCATTGGCAACTCATTTTGGTAGTTCGTTGTAGTAATTCTTTATCTCGAATGAAATTGAATCACGTATGATGTACGGAAATTACCGATGTTTTGCGAATGCGAGATAACTCTAAATCTGTTTTTCTTGTCAGCAAAATCTAGCGATGGCTACAAAAAGATTTTTAGCCGTGCTTCAAACCATTCAAAATTAACAGTAAGGTGTTCGGTAAGATAAATACGTTGTTCACTGGTCCCTCGGGGCCCATGGGTTGATGTACCCTTCGGGCTCAGGGAACATAAACAAACATCGAGGGTACATCAACCCATGCCCCCCTCGTGACCAGTGAACAACTTATATTGTAGCACACTTTACAATACCTACCCGAGAGCCATAGAGAGGAATCGTTTGTTGTGGGTTCACGGACAAGAGGATGTCTCCGATATTTGTCTGGGAAAATAAATAAACAATAGATGGATCACTTATTCAACACCAGTGAGTTCAGTGTTCTATCGGAGGACGGTCTAAGGTCCTTAAGGAATAAATAACAAAAAAAATTAACAGCATTTTGCTTTATGTAAATTACGATAGCACATATTTGACGATAACCTACAGACGTCGAAGGTAACCTGGCACTACAATTACAACTCACTGGGAATATGAATCTGTGAACACTTTCCCTAAGCAGTCGTAAGTCTTACGTATGACATATCGGGAAAACACAACACTGACATTGTTTCAGGCTGATTATTGCATGAATGTATAGGTATGGGCGATTTCTTTCTGACCAAGAATTCCCCTCATGGGCACAATGTGTTAAGCCCATTTCTGGTGTCCCCCGCCGTGATATTGCTGGAATATTGCTAAAAGCGGCGTAAAACTAAACTCAGTCAGTCTGTCTGACCAAGATCGACTATTGTAGGTTTCGGAAGGGAGCACAGTGTCCGTAAGGGGTAACTTTTAGAGTGCCCTCAGTGATTACTTCCTGCTTCCGATTGTTGCATGGCAGATCACAACAATAATGCATCAGAGTTGCTTTCTGGCAGCGTATCAAACTTTGTAACTGATAAATGTCCCTCCGCGAGAATACTATTGATCACTAGCGTGTTTACGTAACTATGAGAAGTCGTTCGTTCTTCACAGGCAATCGTGTCATTCCGAGACAAGCCGGAAAGGGGCGAGAATTGACGAGTTAAATGGCCTACAGCTCATTAGGCTTGTCATAAGGAACCGTTCATAATTTATGGTGTGTGTTGGTGGGTGTGTGTTGGTGGGTGGGTGATGATGATGATTTTAATGGGGGACACACATTTTGTTCTGGAGAGGTAGTGGGGGACACTAATTTTGAAATTAAGAAAAAAATGATTAGAAATTACGGGATGGGGGTAATTGATTTTGTACATGACATACAAGGGGGGTCACATGTTTTGTAATTTTAGGGGGGGGGGGATTCACATTGTACATGCCTTTCCATGAAAATATTCATATCACACACACACACTACAAGACATACAAAGGGGCACAGGGTGGTACAGTTGAATGCAACTTAGTTTTCATTGTATACATGTATAACAGATGAGTCCAGATATATCTTCTTGTCAAAACTCCTTATCTACAGAAGGTTTTTGCAGTTCAACGGTTCTTCAGCTGTACAATGAAACTAAGTGTTGTCATAGGCAACGGTAGTATCTATGTTATCATGTGTATGACGTTACAGTTAGTGACAAAACATGTAATATCACACAAACACACACACACACACACACACACACACACACACACACACACACACACACACACCACACCATAAATTATTAACGGTCCCTAAGTCCAATATGCCATCGGTCAGCACGGGAAGGACGCCATATTGGAACTAATTTCCGACACGTGACTATCAGAGAGTCGGAAATTGTAGATATAATTGTTTCCGCTTCGTTTCGTCTTCAAAACAAAGTGAAGAACTAACTTCTGGAAATATGAAGATGAACCTGTCTTCAAAACAGCCGTCACGTTACACGATTTGTAATGAAACCGTACATCACTACTCCGATGCTGTTCTGGGTATAGATAGGCTTCTGAATACACACAGAGAACACGAGTGCTGTAAGAGTAGATGTGTTTGTCAAGAATAGAAATAACTTCAATCGTCTATGTTACAGGCCTGTAGGTTGTTTATGAAGGTACATTAAATCCATGACGTAGATGTAACAACGAAGGACGTGTACTTTAAGGAAGGCTCTTTGATTCCATGTCCACGACTTGTGTTAAGACCTGTGAAGGTCCGGGTTAGAATGTTGGCCTTCAGTAACCCATGCTTGTCGTAAGAGGCGACTAACAGGATCGGGTGGTCAGGCTCGCTGACTTGGTTGACACATGTCATCGCTTCCCAATTGCGCAGATCGATGCTCATGTTGTTGATCAGTGGATTGTCTGGTCCAGACTCGATTATTTACAGACCGCCGCCATATAGCTGGAATATTGCTGAGTGCGGCGTCAAACTAAACGCACTCACTCACTTGTGCTAATGCGAAACTGTATCAGAACAAGCACATTTCAGGGCCGATGTAACTTACCAAGGAAATTAACGGAGAAAGCAAAATATATGGATACTTACGTATATGTGTTGCGCTTGATAACGTTGATGCAGGATGCCAATTACTTCACTGAGGTTGGGGTCAACAAGGGTTGAAAGGTTACCAGTGGGTTGTTGACCCCACTGTGCTGCCATTGGCCCAGACATTTTGTTTACATTACCTGTTGATAAGAGAGCATGTTCGGTTTAAGTTACACGGAAATATATACTAACAGAAAATGTGGATGATTCTTATAAAGATTCTAAATGTTATGTTATTAAACATAACAACATAGTGTTTGGTCATGTGTCTGATCGTGTTTCATTCTTTTTATCCTATATATTTTCAGTGGGGAAACAGTCGACCATGGTAGTATGCTGCCTCCAATATTATGTTATAAAAACACGTGGGCGGGCATTATCGTGCTGCTACGTGGTATTACGTCCACCAAGCTAGACGTGCCTGATAGTGATGTGGAGTCAGTGAGTATGGTTTTACGCCGCTTTTAGCAATATTCCAGCAACATCACGGCATTGTACCCATGTGGGGAATCGAACCGGGATCTTCAGCGTGATGAGCGGACACTTTAACCACTAGGCTACCCCACCGCCCCTTGTGATGTGGAAGCAACATTGGGCTTATCACTGGACATGGATGGGTGCTGTGCTCCTCAACCGATCGCCTACTGTTCTGCCATTAATTGGTCTCAAATCACAAATTGCCTGAGGTGTTGATGAGGCAGATTGCAGTCAATTACGTTGATGCACCAACCGAATATAGTTGTCTTGTTGACGTGAGATCACAGATGGACGAACGTAAATAGATATTTCCTTGATGTACATAAAGTCTCAAAAGAGATTATATTATATTTCGATGACTATCGATATTTCTGGCAACTTCGTTACCTATTTGCAGCACACCCTGGACGCGCAGGGATATTGATCATACAAAAGTGTGTATTTGTATGAGCACCTGATTGCTAAACATTCATTGTTTGAAAAAATCATGCATACATCCGAAAAGTGCACCTTGTATTTACATGTACAAATTCTTAATCACGATCTCACAGTCTTGAAGGTGCCTTTATGAATGAATGTGCATGGAAAGATGCATTATTTAATTTCAGAATTCATGTATTTTTATTGAATTTTATATGAAGCATAATTCCTTTGTCGGAGAGCATGCATGTAAGTGATTATCACACACATTTGCTTGTAGTACAGCATTGGCGAATTACACTGAATTTTCGGGTAAGGTTTCCAAATCAGTACAAAGCTTGAAAACCATTTCGATGTCCTGAAATTGCTAATTATGACATGCTGTTAATACATTTAAGTATGGTAAACATTATTGTTTGTTTGAATAAAATTGTTTGACAGGAATATTTTAAAATTTAAATGTGAATTGATTCAGTTTAAAGTACTGTAAATCATAATATATCCATATGATGAATTAATTGATTGATTGTGAGATGAACAGTTTGTTTTTAGTTTCCGGGACAAGGTAATTCAGTGATTGGGTTTGACTTCACACCCTTTAGTAGAGTAATTCAGTTATATTATGGAGCGTGAGGTGTTTACATCTTCGATAATCTCCAGGATACACGTTACTATCACTCTCCACTATACCCTGGATGCATCCACGGCTTGGCCCGATAATTATATTACCTCCCTTTGCTGGCTCCGTATTCTCACAGTAGCCAATCCACGAAGCCGCCGTTACATCCGAGCTTGCCCGTGTCAACAAAGATAGCGATCGCAGTCGCGAAGGTTTGTTCGCAGTGCCACTCAGATTTTGGGGGAAATAATACTGACAAATTGACAGATCTGAAACTTTAATCAAATCTAAGAAAGAACTCCTTCTACCTCTTTCAGAGTAGGCTACTTGTGCATCAATTCTGTTGCCAAGTTTAAACGGTTAGATAATTTAAGAAGCGAAAGTAAGTTGTGATTGGTTTGCTCAACTTCCCAGCGTAGACACCTGATTGGATAAAAAGCCAGCAAAGGGAGGTAACGAAATTATCCGTGGATGCATCCAGGGTATAGTGGAGATTGATCGTAACGTATACCCTGGAGATTATCGAGGATGAGGTGTTTACAAGTTTGGTGAAACTCACGAGCACGAATATGGTGATGACAAACTGAGAAAACCTGCAGGGCGAATATGGGATTCAAACTCACTCTCCAGGGTTACTGCCACTCCTCAACAACACAACTCAGAAGAATGGTGGGCTACGCACGCCTTCGATACAGGTGCACCATAGGGCAAGTTCGGTAAACACTATCACTGATATGCATGTATAACCAGAGCCCAGACCGCCATATGGCCGGAATATAGAGAGTCCTCGTTAACTGGAAGTCGACAATACGGACACCCCACTTCCAGGACAATTACAACCGTAACGTTTATTGTATACACAATGACATTATTAGGTCCCCAGTGAAGTAATAATTCCTTGCAGCTGTCATTTGTTCATATGAATATTCATTAATGTTACAATAACAAGTTACTATGCTACAGAGGGTTACAGTTACTATACAGCATACACACCACACCCTTTCCGCTCTCGAATCTCTGACCTTTATTTGGCATGGTAAACTACTGTTTAATAATAGCGTATTTCACTATTTTCCTGACACAGTTATCACGGTGAAAGTATCTACTAAACGAGACGGTTTTACTCAGTAGACGGTCACTGAAAGAGGCGCCCGAACTATTTGACAGTGCTGATAGACAGTGGATAAAGTGAACGTACCGAGTGCATGGCAATGATTGTACGACTCTTCATTCAGTATCAGTAAACAGGCCAATCACGTTCATATTAGAGAATGAAAATATTACTTTATTAATACCCAGAGAGGTTTAGCGGTTTCATCACTTCCCCTACATGCGAAGGGTGTGATAATACATATTGTAATTATATATTTTGTATTTTTTCAATTTCTTCGTCTCATTTCTAGTATGCATTAAACATTTATCAGGTGAATATCATATTTCCAGAGGAAAACATGGGTTTTGTCCCTTTAGCAACCCTTTATTACATATTAAGGACTGGGATGACTTTTGTCGATATTTAAAGAATTGTGATAATGTTATGATTAAAGAATTTGGTGGACAAGGGATTAAAGCTATTACAGGTAAGCGGCATTGTCAGTTATTTGCATATTCATGAAATCAACGCTAGAAACATGGAGTAACAGTCACAACAAAATAAAAAGTATAAGTGGTATAACGGTAGTTTTAGTAGTAGTAGTAGTAGTAGTAGTAGTAGTAGTAGTAGTAGTAGTAGTAGTGAGTGGGTGAGTTTAGTTTACTCAGCAATGTTCCAGTGGTATAACGGTAGTGGTAGTAGTAGTAGTAGTAGTAGTAGTGAGTGAGTGAGTTTAGTTTAATCAGCAATGTTCCAGTGGTATAACGGTAGTGGTAGTGATAGTAGTAGTAGTAGTAGTATAGTAGTAGTAGTAGTAGTAGTAGCAAGTAGTAGTAGTAGTAGTAGTAGTAGTAGTAGCGAGTGAGTGAGTGAGTGAGTGAGTTTAGTTTAATCTGGGCCAGACAATCCAATGATCAACAGCATGAACATCGATCTACGCACTTGGGATACGATGACGTATGTCAAACAAGTCAGCGAGCCTGACCACCCAATCCCATTAGTCGCCTTTTACGACAAGCATGGGTTGCTGAAGGTCAACATTCTAACCCGGATCTTCACGGGTTAGTAGTAGTAGTAGTAGTAGCAGCAGCAGCAGCAGCAGTAGTAGCAGCAGCAGCAGTAGCAGCAGCAGCAGCAGCAGCAGTAGTAGTAGCAGCAGCAGCAGCAGCAGCAGCAGCAGCAGCAGTAAATACATCTACACCTATACTGTATAATGCATGAGCTGGAGGACTACACTACTGAATGTGACTGCTTGTCTATCGTACCTGTCTATTATTATCATCACCATGAACATGAACCGTATTACAACTCTACCTCAACGTAAGTGACACCCACTGTTCTGGTCTGAATGTCCCAAAACAAACATTCACGGAGCGACAGTCCACAGATGTGTTTAGTGTACAAGGAAGGTACGCCAGTTTCCGACAGACGCCCTTGCAGTATCGCCTTACAATGTACCCACGGACAATCGGGAACAGACACGCCAAGACCACATTACTCCAGCTCCCTGCGAGCTGATAGCCCCGCCAAGTCACGATATACTTAAACTCTTTCACTGAATCTGCATCACTGGCTGATAGTATCTGACCCGCCAGTCTCGAGGTTACAGTAGTCTGTTAGTGTAATGGTGTTCGATGAGCTCGTGGTATCTGTGAGGAAAGAAACCACGGTGACAGGCGTGGGGTAACTGAGGGTGTATTACAGCAGTTTGGAGAGTAAATACTGTCAGGTGTCGGGTGTCGTAGGCGCAAGTCGACCAAACGTAGCAGACGTTACTGAAACGTTACTGGGCTTAAGACGGGGATGACTTAAGACGACGCAAAAGGATGTGTGTGGTGTCCTCCCATTTGTGAGAACTCCCAGTTGTGAGACACATTAATTTATGGTTCAGTGCACATAGGTGGTGTTTCCACATCCCCACAATGAAAGTGGGATCAGCCCAGTTGTTGAAGAGTACCCACAGGAGGCATAGTTCATTGATGAGTTGATTAATGAAATAGATTATCAAAGATTTTATTTACAAAGAAGAAATAGTTCATTAAATATTTCATTTATTCAGAAGAATATGTAATTATGATAACACATTTTTATTGACTATTATGAAGTTTGAAAGTCATTTTGGTTTAAACATACTTTATTATCATTATCAAAGTGTTTAATTTTTAAGGACATTTACTGGAGTATGTTAATCAATTTATCTTATAAAGTTTCATTAAGTTACCTCCAAAAGATTCAGTTACATAGCAAATCAGTAAGTAGCTAGGGTTAATCCATTCTATCAGGCAGGGGAGTATGGTGTGTTTTCTTTGTTAATTACCTAGTCCACTGTCTCATAACTGGGAGTCTCACAATTGGGAGTTCTCACAAATGGGAGTAGACCATGTGTGTTATGTGGGGCTGCATTGATTTGAGGAATAGTGTTCACGAAGGAGCGTATATTGTTTACTTGAGCCTTGTGGTGCACTAGCGCGTATACGAATGTGACAAGCATCTCTCCTTTCATTTAGACGAGGAAAGCACAATGTACAGAATGCACAGTCAAATGACAAAAGGAGGATTGGCCTGATGTGACGGGTAACCTGTTGTGCAACAACTGCAGACTTAAAATAATTTGAATGTTTTCTTTTCGTCGTTGCCATGACATCAGTACCTATCAAAGGATAAGCTGATATTTCTATACAGTAGACAGACTGTTACTGATGTTCATGTTGGGGTCAAAAACAAATGTTCGTTTGTTTGTTTGTTACGACAAACATGGGTTGCTGAAGATCAATTCTAACCCGGATATTCACGAGCCCCATATTTAATTACAGAGGAGATAAATGAGGTCACAAACGCAGAAGGGACATTATATGCAGAGGTTTATAGAGTATATTATGATACTAAATATAAAATTGTGGAAAATGTTGGGATTACAATTAGGAACATTGATAGAATGAATGAATGAATGAATGAATGAATGAATGAATGAATATTCTTTATGTCCCTCAATGATTTGATGAGTTCACATGTTATGATATAAGTGCAGCAGAAGGTCGTGAGATGGGTCAGCCACAATCAGGCTGGATAGGCTCATCGTCAGCTCATTGCCCGTTGTCCGTTCTACCCGCAACCCAGACAGGAACTCTCCCAGGAAGAGCTGCCTCGTAGAAAACCAATAACCTTCCGGAGAATATAAGCCTCGCCAACAGGGCTTTCTTCTTGAGTACTCAAATTGGCAAAATGGCTACCTCATAGTGGAAAGTCTGGACACCTGCCTGGTCCTGGTCTGATATCATGGATTACAACAGTGGAAGGTCCGGACACCTTCCTAGTGTTGGTCTGAGGTCATGGATGACACAAGTGGAAGGTCAAGACACCTTCCTGGTCCTGATCTGAGGTCATGGATGACAACAGTGGAAAGTCCGGACTCCTTCCTGGTCCTGATCTGAGGTCATGGATGACAACAGTGGAAAGTCCGGACACCTTCCTGGTCCTGGTCTGAGGTCATGGATGACAACAGTGGAAAGTCCGGACACCTTCCTAGTCCTGGTCTGATGTCGTGGATTACAACAGTGGAAAGTTCGGACACCTTAGTGGTACTGGTCTGAGGTCATGGATTACAACAGTGGAAAGTTCGGACACCTACCTGGTCCTGGTCTGATGTCGTGGATTACAACACTGGATGATTCGGAAGTCTCCCTGGTCCTGAACTGCGGTCGAACGCGAGCTCCGTCACGTTGTTCCGAAATCTTACCAATGATGTTACTGTCATAAGGGACAGGTAATGCAGGGCCAAGATCGGGTTTATTAAGAATAATTACCTAAAGCTGCACTTGAGCTTTTTCAAACAGCCATTAAAATCACCCTTCTCCATGACTCCCTGAGAGCACTAAAGAACGGTTCATATTGTATCATGTTGTGTATATTGTTTGTGCCAACGTAGTTCATCCACATAAAAGCGTTGAATAATGTAAGTAAATTCCGTGCAAAGTCGTTGTTTAATATTTATATGTTCGGTAAGAATAACCTTTAGGCGATTACCAGTGGGAACTGGCTGGTGTTGGGCAGCAAAATAAAACTGTGTTTCATTTTTCACACCCACCAACTTCCATCAAAGGTATGGGGCCAGGAAGACTGCTATTATTTTTCTCACACTGCATATACACGCGGTGCTGTAGTTCTCTGAAAGCAGTTCTCCAAAGAACCGGTCATCGGCAGTTTGGGGAAAGGATTTCCCTCCAGTGCCATTATCCACCACTGCAGCTGAGATTCTGACACACAGCCTTTTCATGTTTCAAAAGCTGAATAATTCCTTGCTTACTGTTAAGAGCCTTTAAACACTTCACAAGAGGATCATCCGATAAATAGATTTAACGTATAGACAAAGAAACCTTTTCCTTATTAATCAAAACCCAATCCCAAGAACTGATGAAGATTGAGAGAGGAACGAGGGTGGTGACATGTATCATCAGGTATTACCCTAATCTTGAGACGGTCATGTTTTGTCCAATCAACGACTCCAAAGGGAAACAGTCGAAAGCACAGGATACGTGTTTGTTACTTTAACCATATTCATGATGACCATACATGTAGCTACATACGCTTTCAGTGACTGCCTGTTGCTGAGGCTGAGATGGCAAGCGATGATAAATCTGTGAATGAACACAAACAGTTGTAAGCTAGACGAAACGAAACCATTCCCTTGAATTAATATCAATGATTCAAAAATTCAGGATTAATGAATATCTACACTCAAGCCAATTGGTAATACAGTCATGTTTGATTCGGGTCCCCCAAAGTCTGAATTTGTCTGAATTGTTTAAATTCGTAATTCATTTTGATTTAGCAGTAATGATATCCAAACTACACGCTTCATGCGTCTAGACTTGAAATGGACCCACATTATCAGCTGTAGAGAAACGTATTCCCGTATGTCATTCTTATCGGAACCTGACTGAAATGCAAGATTGTAGACTGATAACATTTAACAGTTAGTGTCCTTGTTAAACGAGATTCTAGTTTGAAATGGTCATTCACTGTGATGAATGTACTTTCTGGCCCGTCCCGGAATACTGTTCGTTATACGTTGCTTACTGATTGGTCCGGCTATTAAGAATGCATAACTCTACCATGATTCAAATACTATAGATAATCGTGGTCTCTGAAGCACAATGTCTGGATTGTTTCCTGGCCGTTTAGCGTAGATTAGAGTGTCTGATTTAAAACTTAAATGAACTACTTTCAAGACAAAAGTTTTCCGCCGCCATCAACAATAACACGATTAAGCCATCATAGAAACATGCACGTTTTTATCGGTGTTTAACTTTGCTTGATAATGCCACATCGCCGTAACATCCACAACCACGACTATGACCACGACCACAACGTCGACCAAATCCACGCCGTCATGTATCTCCACATAAAGACAGTAACGCTGCTCAACGTCAAACAACGTCACTCAGCGACAATCGACGTTTCCAAAATACCCAGAGCAATACACTGCAGACAGCGTGTTGTTAAACTCATAACCAGTTGAGTGAAGCTAAATCTGATATTGTGCACTGGTATAATTCGGACGTTTACGGATATTATTAATATTTACAAACCGCCGACATATAACTGGAATATTGCTGAGCGTCAAACAACAAATAGAAACATGTCCATACATAGTGAGTGAGTGAGTTCAGTTTTACGCCGCTTTTAACAATATTCCAGCTGTATCACGGCGGGGGACACCAGAAATGGGCTTCACATCCATCACATAAGGGGGGAGGTAGGTGGCACAGTGGGTGCAAGATTAGCACGTGTCTGTGTTCGATTCTTGTCGTAGGTACATTCCATTAATATATTTGTTAAGTACAAGTCTGGTAAATAGGTAGTCGGGCTTAAAGACAAGGTGAGATAAGTTGAACCATATCCCCGATATCATGATTCTCTTAGTAGCGTTATGACAGAATGAACAACCTTTATGGTCACGTTTTGTCGCAGAAAATACACATTACGTTACAGCCTAGTTGTTTGCAATGGAGCGTTAGTTCGGGAGAATAACAGGTCGTTTAGTAAAAGCTACTCAAGACTCAAGACTAAACAAGCGATTATTGATTATCATTTATTGATTCTTCAGGGTTGTTATTTGTTTTTTAACCATAATACCATCTTTGTCTTTAATACAATCATTAGATTTGAATGATATTTGGTGATGAACGACAACATGGCCGTGTTGAAAATGCAGGTTATGTTAAGCGTAATATGTCCTATCAAGCTGTCTGTTTCATAACTTATATATTTATATCTGTGTTTTCGTACGACACTTGTGACACACCACATAACAACTTATGAACCCCTTTCACTTTGGATATATCCCGATGAGGAAATTGTTCATAGCGTGTTAATACTGTTATTATATCCCCAAATGCACCGGTCTTTCCATAACTGGTTCAAATCGTAACCTGACCTGCTGATATATTACGAATATACAAAACAAACCTTCTACTAGGACAAAAAATATCGTAACTTAAAGACCATGTATACAGGTGATGACACAAACCATGACTGCAACTCAAACGATTCAAACGTCATCAACGCCCCAACCACTCCAACTCTTCGCAACGCCACCCACGTTTTATAACGGCACTCAAATCAAATCAACGCATCGTAACGTCACCCAAACCACATAAACGCTTCCTAACGCCTCTCAAATCAAATCAGTGCTTAGTAACGCCGTTCAGCTCGAATCAACGCCTCGTCAGGCCGTCACACACGACAGAGACCTTCAACGCCCAAACACCTACATCAACGCCGTGCACACAGCACGTACTTCATGACGTCTCTTCGTATAGAGTTCCAGCAGAGAATTCATCTAATGAGGATTAATGGGAAACTTCTTGCTCTTTGGCCATCGAACATGATGGATGAGGACCATTAACCGTCCTGTAGATGGTCACTGATATTTATGACACGAGGTTTTAGGTAAGGCTGACAAATATAGGTCAACGTCATCATCACAAATCATTTCAACAATATACCATAAATTGTCTAATACGTGGAGTAAGAGATGTTCAAACACTTTTTTACTTTTTGATTTGTGTCAAAGAGGTTTATTATTTCTCCATGGCCTTCGTCCCTTCTCAGACACGTTTCTTATAGAAATTTAGTCACACGAGACCATTTTTACATAAGAAAACACAGCGGCCAGCACACATGTTACAACTAATGGCACGTGTCAGTAGATAAAGATATCGACTTTTTTTGGCTTATACTTGCCTGTGTTGGTGCAGTTTGGACTCAGACTGTTATCTACGTACTTGGGACATAGCAAGTTAATTCAACACTCATGACTATATCTTGCCCTGCTACACAATCGTGAAAGCAGGGGGCTCTAGTTGGCTCTTTTTGGTTACAAGCCATAAGAGATTGTTGTCAGTCATGATTTACGATATCAGTAGACTTCGTACCCGACAAGCCGAATACAGATTGAAAACACATTGTACTGGACTTATGTTTAAATGGCTCAGTATTGTTTTACAGCGCGCCTAGTTATAGTCCGTTCGGGAACAGCACGAATATGATTCACATATCCCGTTTTGAGGAAACGAACCCGGGTTTTCAGCATGATTGGTTAGACATATAACCAATAGGCTTCCTCCCGTCCCTGTCTGAGATATAAAAAATGGAATGCATTTGATTGCTAATCTAACCAGCAGACCGTTTCATTTAAATCGTTTTCTACCATATAAAAAGTAGTTTAGAAACTGAAGTTAGAATTAAATCCTAATTCCTTCTTTGATATTAACAGTTACGAGGACGATGGGAAGCAACAATAGGGAAATATTTTTGGACATAATCTCCCCTCAGCCATGTTCCAATAGTTTAGTCAGATCATAACAAACTTTTTACTCAGCAGTACTGAGTAAATGCAGGGCAACAACACTGCAGTATAACTATTGTGAAAATACTCAAAGGCACCAAGAGTAGAGTGGTCTTTCACTCACACATAGACACAGGCACTCACTCACTCTCTTATTGAATTGTTAACTTTGTTTCAGTAAATATGCTTATTTCGATTCCCTGTTAGGGATTTTGAAGAATGTATTTTTCTGTTTCACAGCAGTAATCTACAACACAGACTGTTAAGTATGGTCCGTTTACTGTTACTAATAGTTTTGTACAGATAAACACTTTGCAGGTAATTATGACGGATGCAAACGCTGGGGCAGGATACTCTCACCTTAACTCGAATACCTGGCGTAATCTTTAATTGATGGAGATTCATGGACATGTGCTTGTGATACAGTTTGAATCCTACAAATTAATCAGCTTTCAGAAGAGTATTTCGTTTGCTGTTTATCTAAAAACCACATTTATAATAACCGCATAAATATAATATGTCAAGGTATTCTCTACCTTGTCCTAGACGATGTATAGGTCTCGAAAATTAACATAGTCAGGTGATGAGGAAAAGGACGATAAAGAAAACCCATCAACGTAGACAGGGGAAGTACTGTTGACATGAGGTTGTTGGTTTTGAGCAAGTCAGATGTGTGCATGTACAGTTGGCGTTGGAACGTGAGTACGTCTTTAACAAAGGACCTGTCACGTAGTCCCAGCCACACGCTGTGTCTGTCTTTATCGCACTACCTACCTTATGTTGAGATACGCCGCCACGCAGATTAGTCCTGTAACGTGAACACAAAATCCACCACACTGCACAGATGTTTATCGGTGATCTGTATCAGTTCAATTCAATAGTTGTCCAATTAAGCCTGACAACACCCGTCATCTAGTAGAGGCAACGTTCATGTGAAACCGGGTCGTCATGTACCTAGCACTGCACAGTGGTAGCGAGATTACTGATCTGAAGTCAGGTTTAGCTTATCGCCTCTCCCCGCAATCGGATCGCAAATATGTAGGGCTGGGGAGCACACCCTGACGTACCCAGGTCTGAACCAGGAAGTGCTTTGTCACGCCGGGGCAAATACTGGCGCCTTATTTAGCATTCCTTGAAGATACTGGGACACGTAGTAATCTTTGGGTCATGGCTCACAAAACATAAGGTTTATTGTTTGTTTTCTGATTGTTGATGTTTGTTGTTGTTGTTATCCGTATCCTTTTGATCATCTTTGAATGCAATAAATCCGTCTCAGACGACATCCTTTTTGTACCGTACTGGCGTTTACTCAACGAATCCAGTTTTTGGCACTTCCCTTGTAACTACAGACGCTTCGTCCATCCCCATCGCTTCGGTGGTGTAATAGGCAGAGCGTTTTTCCTGTGAACGGTAAGTAGCTGGTTCGATCCCCGGCTCTCGTCCTACCAAAAGACGTGAAAAGGGTACTTGTTGCCCTGCTTGACGCATGACATGAAAGGGATAAAAGCGAGGACTTGACGGCTAGGGTCAATGTCATGTGGATGAGGTATCCAGGTTAAATGCACACAAGCAGCAACAACTAGCCACATACACATTCGCAAGCACGTCGCTACCCGTGTCAAATACGCGACGCACAAAACCTCCTATGTCACCTTACATTACCTTCAAATACACTTATGTATAAAATCAGTTATACAGTTTTGAGATCAGCTACGAAGTGGTAACGTCCCAAATGGCCTGTAACATCCAATGGCGAAATATGTCGCCTGAATACAACACGATAAATTCAAATCCACAAACTCAGTGGACTGCGACTGAACATAATGCTTGCCTGCATTCACTGATTTTCAACGATGGACCACGAGGCCTTCTTACAGCACCAATAGCATATCCATGCTCATCCTCAATGAAACAGGATGTTGTATTTGGTGTTTGCGATTGATACCCTGGGATAACTGATTCCTGTGTGTATTTAGATTGCAGACACGTGTTCATGTTTGTTTTGTGTTAAAAGCAATAGTCAGCAACATTCCAGCTCTGTGACGACGGTCTTTAAATAATCCAGTCTGGTTTAGACAATCCAGTGATTGACAGTGTCGATCAACGCAACTTGGATGCCATGTCATCAGCCTGACCACCCGATCCCGGTAGTTGCCTCTTACACGGGTACATGTTGCTAAACAGGAACAGACACGTAGCAAGCATTCACTCTTCATGCTCTGTGTAGTTGCTCGGAGATCTGGATCAATTATCAACATCATATTTTATAACTAACCTTTGATTAGTCGCTGTAAAAGGTATAAACGGTTGAACGTTTTTTCCACGAGTTAGCGTGTGGCTATACCTGACAAGACTAAAATGTAAATAGTCCTAAAATATTTGTTGATACGAGTGTATATTCAAGGAAATATGCAAATATTGTACTCTTCATTAACATTATCCTCAATATTTTAAACTAAAGAACATCTTTTAAGATTTTCACTTATGAATATATAGTTGTATTTTTAAGATTTAGACAGCATGTAGGTGATCACAGCGCGAATCACATGTTTATTTGACTCCGATTCGATTAGTAAGTGAAACATGTCGCATATTGCGCTTAGTGATGTAAAGGTGGTGATAAATAGTAACCTAAGGGAGACTGACTGAGTTTGGTTTTACGCCGCTTTTAGCAATATTCCAGCAATATCACGGCGGGGACCCATGTATGGGATTCGAGGGGTTGGCGTGACAGTCAACGTCGACAACCGCCCCCTGGGGAGAACATCATAGCGCAGGGTTGTATGCATATTGACAATTGATGTTGATGTTTGTTATTATCCTTCGTTTTAGTAACGAGAATTACAAAACAGGAAACCTCATGCGTGGCCACATGTAATCACACTCGCACTATGACAACGCACTGCAGTGGTTTCACCTTGACACTGACAGTAAGGAGGAAGGTGGTCCCGCCTAACCCACCCATGTACCGTAATCCCGGTAACATGTCACCCAAACAGCGTCCATCATGCGGGACGAGGGGTTGGGGCTTTCTTGGTAATACCCGAGGAGAGAGAATGTCGATTTCGTTGAAGAAAATATCTAGCATGATTTGAATCACGTGCTACTTGTGTTTAGTGAAGCATGATTATAATGACTTTGTGGCTGAATTATAGAGGTGAGTGAGTAAAGATCTGAAATAATGATTAAACAGGATTACCTATGTACCTGTATGACATCAACTGGATGAACACGTGAATGTGTAAGTTCTAAGCCTGTCTTATATTGTAAAACCATGTTGAACAACTGTCTGCCTGCCTTGTATTGTAAACCTGCCTTGTATTGTAAAACCATGATGAACAACTGTCTGTGTAAACCCTGATTGTAAAACAACAACTGTCTGTGTAAGTTCTAAACCTGCCTTTGTATTGTAACAACAACGTTGAACAACTGTCTGTAAGTTCTAACTGCCTGTGTAAGTTCTAAACCTGCCTTGTATTGTGTAACATCGAGATGCCTGCCTTGTATTGTAAAACCACGTTCAACAACTGTCTGTGTAAGTTCTAAACCTGCCTTGTATTGTAACACATCGAGATGAACAACTGTCTGTGTAAGTTCTAAACCTGCCTTGTATTGTAAAACCTGCCTTGTATTGTAACACATCGAGATGAACAACTGTCTGTGTAAGTTCTAAACCTGCCTTGTATTGTAACACATCGAGATGAACAACTGTCTGTGTAAGTTCTAAACCTGCCTTGTATTGTAACACATCGAGATGAACAACTGTCTGTTCAAACCTGCCTTCAAACCTGCCTTGTATTGTAACACATCGAGATGAACAACTGCCTGTGTAAATTCAAACCTGCCTTGTATTGTAACACATCGAGATGAACAACTGTCTGTGTAAAACACATCAAAACCTGCCTTGTATTCTAAACCTGTAACACATCGAGATGAACAACTGTCTGTGTAAATTCAAACCTGCCTTGTATTGTAACACATCGAGATGAACAACTGCCTGTGTAAATTCAAACCTGCCTTGTATTGTAACACATCGAGATGAACAACTGTCTGTGTAAATTCAAACCTGCCTTGTATTGTAACACATCGAGATGAACAACTGTCTGTGTAAATTCAAACCTGCCTTGTATTGTAACACATCGAGATGAACAACTGTCTGTGTAACTTCTAAACCTGCCTTGTATTGTAACACATCGAGATGAACAACTGCCTGTAAGTTCTAAACCTGCCTTGTATTGTAACACATCGAGATGAACAACACATTCAAACCTGCCTTGTATGTAACATCGAGATGAACAACTGTCTGTGTAAGTTCTAAACCTGCCTTGTATTGTAACACATCGGATGAACAACTGAAGTTCAAACCTGCCTTGTATTGTAACACATCGTGAACAACTGCCTGTGTAAGTTCAAAACCTGCCTTGTATTGTAACACATCGAGATGAACAACTGTCTGTGTAAATTCAAACCTGCCTTCAAACATCTGCCTTGTAAATTCAAACCTGCCTTGTATTGTAACACATCAAGATGAACAACTGTCTGTGTAAGTTCTAAACCTGCCTTGTATTGTAACACATCGAGATGAACAACTGTCTGTGTAAGTTCTAAACCTGCCTTGTATTGTAACACATCGAGATGAACAACTGTCTGTGTAAAACCACTAAACCTGCCTTGTATTGTGAGATGAACAACTGTCTGTGTAAGTTCAAACCTGCCTTGTATTGTAACACATCGAGATGAACAACTGCCTGTGTAAGTTCTAAACCTGCCTTGTATTGTAACACATCAAGATGAACAACTGTCTGTGTAAGTTCTAAACCTGCCTTGTATTGTAACACATCGAGATGAACAACTGTCTGTGTAAATTCAAACCTGCCTTGTATTGTAACACATCGAGATGAACAACTGTCTGTGTAAATTCAAACCTGCCTTGTATTGTAACACATCGAGATGAACAACTGTCTGTGTAAATTCAAACCTGCCTTGTATTGTAACACATCCAGGATGAACAACATCGAAGAAACCTGAACAATGAACAACTGTCTGTGTAAGTTCAAACCTGCCTTGTATTGTAACACATCGAGATGAACAACTGTCTGTGTAAGTTCTAAACCTGCCTTGTATTGTAACACATCGAGATGAACAACTGTCTGTGTAAGTTCTAAACCTGCCTTGTATTGTAACACATCGAGATGAACAACTGCCTGTGTAAGTTCTAAACCTGCCTTGTATTGTAACACATCGCCTTGTAGATGAACAACTGTCTGTGTAAATTCAAACCTGCCTTGTATTGTAACACGAGATGAACAACTGAACAACTCCTTGTATTGTAACACAGATGAACAACCTTGTATTGTAACACATCGAGATGAACAACTGTTCTAAACCTGCCTTGTATTGTAACACATCAAGATGAACAACTGCCTGTGTAAGTTCTAAACCTGCCTTGTATTGTAACACATCGAGATGAACAACTGTCTGTGTAAGTTCAAACCTGCCTTGTATTGTAACACATCGAGATGAACAACTGTCTGTGTAAGTTCTAAACCTGCCTTGTATTGTAACACATCGAGATGAACAACTGCCTGTGTAAGTTCAAACCTGCCTTGTATTGTAACACATCGAGATGAACAACTGTCTGTGTAAGTTCTAAACCTGCCTTGTATTGTAACACATCGAGATGAACAACTGTCATCGAGTGAACAACTGTTCAAACCTGCCTTGTATTGTAACACATCGAGGTGAACAACTGTCTGTGTAAATTCAAACCTGCCTTGTATTGTGACACATCGAGATGAACAACTGTCTGTGTAAGTACTAAACCTGCCTTGTATTGAAACACATCGAGATGAACAACTGTCTGTGTAAATTCAAACCTGCCTTGTATTGTGACACCAACAGATGAACTGCCTTTGAACAGATGAACTACCTTTGAACGAACAACTACCAGTGTCACTTCTAAGAGTTAATTCATCCATGAAATATGTCTATTGTATTGCACAATTTCAGCCCTCATCTATATTATATTCTCGTGTTAAATTGGCCTGTATAACCTGGAACGGTCGTTATGCACGATATCAGACAATGGACATACGTCTCCTGAATAATTGGCGTGACCCGGACATAACAGTAACAAGTAACAGTTAAGTCAATAACACTCAACCTTACCCGCTACGATAAATAGTGTATCAGTAACAAATCAAATATTCAGTCATGCACCGCCTATACTTAGACTGGTGTAGCTGGATTTAAGTCAACATAGCTTTTTTCTATCTTAGATTATCTAACACATGACTCGGGTCAGGTGTACTCAGGGCGTGTTGGTGTGACATTGTCAGCTTCAGCATATATTCAACATATTCTCAGACAAAAACTATTATTTTCGCATGTAAGTATTGCTGTGAGCCTTCAGGGTACGTTGATAATTACAATCAATATTCGTGAAAACAATTCATTATCACTTACATATTCCCATTTGGTTGTTGACATTAAGAAGCAGAACGTGACAGTCTAGCACGTAGTGACTGTAAAGTAACTCTGGAGGACTCTAAAGCATTTTATCAGAGATTTTCGATGGATGTTTTATCGCTTCTATCTCTTTTTGAGTCTTGTTGTTTTCTTCATCGTCGTCGTTGGTGTTGTGGTTGTTGTTGTTGTTGTCGCTGCTGCTGCTGAACTTAGACTACTCTCCATCCCACCTCCAAACCATCTATGGTACTACTTACGCTATGTGCATAGGCTATTCAACGAC